GTCCATCTTGACTACATCATAGATAAATAACTGTAGTCCTGTAAAGGTGTCAATCATAAAGTTGTGAGCTACCAACCCTCTCCAGATCCCCAAGATGAGCTTCTGCACTGCAGCCCCTCTTCTGTGCAGCCATCACTGAAATAGCTGGGGGGAGCATGATAGTATAATAGATGCCTGCCTGGAACAAAGGTGAAGGCCTGCTGTTCACCGTTCCTGCAGAAGCTCTACAACTTGGGCATGGTGTATCCATATAGCAAGTCAGTCACTCATTTAAGGCAGGCAGATTTCATCATAATTTAGAGGATATGGTAACTCCAGAGCAGCGCATTCCCTTATGGAAGATCCATGGACTCCTCAGGAAGGATCCTAGATACCCTAATGATACTTAGTCCAGCTTCCTCTCTCCTGTTATGAATTCTCACAGGGTAGCCCACTCAAAATTCTGGGGCCTCCCCTTAGGTATCAATGTCACACTTATTATTCTGTTATTTCTTGCTCTTTCTATTGATTAGAATCATTCTTTATTGGTCATGCTATTCTTTGATGATGTCTTTTTGAAGGTTCTTATGTTTAATTTCTTGTGGAATTGGGCTGCAACCTATTTATGCCAATCATACCGCGCTCTCCACTGTCTTTCAAGTCATCCATAATTTTGACTCTTTGGTGATTGTGACTCTTTGCCAGATGGCTAGCATTACCAGAAGACTCAATATTCAAAACACTCAAATGCACACACACACACACACACACACACACACACACACACACACATACGTATAATCTTATTAACATGAGTAATCTCTCCAATGGTGCAGATGCAAGCTGCCAGCTCTTATTTATGTCCTGCTTTAGAGTTCATCACAGGAAGCCCACCAATATGCTGAGACTTTTCCCACTTTTTTCTAACATCATAAGGACACTGGTGAAGCAAGAGGTTTTTACATTAGTTAACCTTTATTCTTGCCATGGGACCAACTCATCTTCTTCTTTTGCTCATACAGTTCTTTAAGGACATCTTCTATTCTGGTTCTCCGTCCTAACTCCTCACTCGCAATAAGTTGCCATCTGCTCACACATTCCATGAGTCTTTTCGTTGCCCTTTATGATATCATACTCATTTTCAATTCCTTGGCAACTGTGGTGCTCCATAACTGATAGCTGTACAGAATTTGATGGGTTTTTGGTTCAGTTAAAAGTTTGGGGTCATTAAATGCTCTGTACAGTTTCCAAAATCCAGTTGGGGAAATGCTTTGCATAGTGCAGGCATTTAATAAGTGCCTGTTGAATGAATGAGTAAATGATGGAATGAAATGCAATGAGATGATTTGAAAAAAAGGGAATTGAGTTGAACCCTCCCTCTCAAGTGTGCTTGTGTGTACGTTATGCAATGCGTTGAGCTGAGGTGGAAGAGAATAGAGTAGTATCACTATCGTGCCACATTTCTTCCTTGAATTTTTAAAGACATGATGGTATTCATTATGTTCATATATGACTGGAAAAGGAGGTGGACCAAGTAAGTAGCTAGAGTTTAGAAGAATAGATGGAATAGTCCTAGCACTGTACTGGGTGGGTCTTACAACATTTTAAATGACTTAGAAGAAGGTCTCGAGTGCATTGAAAAATCCTCTATGAAGGACTGGTGGGAGGATGTGAGCAAAAATTGCATAGGGTGAGAAAGATAAAGTGTTATCAAAAGGTGGATGAGAGGAGGGGAAGGTTTTCCACAAGTGTTGAAAAAGCCTACTGACTAGGTAACAGCACGTTCCCATAACCATCCTAAGTGGCATGGAGAAAAGGGTCAGAAAGTCCAGGATGGCTGATTGACTAGTTAGCCAAATGTATAAAATAATGTTCTGTGAAATCTCTCACTTAATTCTCAAGAAGCTCAGTCTGCCCCACATGTAACTGTGAAGAGAATAGCAAGAGATGAACAAACTCAGAGTAAGGAATAGTATAAAATGAATGTGTATGAGTGAGTCAAAGAATAGCAACAATTAAAAAAAAGCAATCTTTTAATAGATTTCCACAGTTGATTCAATACATTTGTTAGAAAACACTTAGAGCTAAAGCCTATCTGCCCCCAAAAGAGCCAAAAAGGACAGAATGAGCTGACAGAGCTTATGGAACTGATACTATTTCAGTCATAGTCAATTTCTTGTTGTTTTCAAGAATTACATTAAAAAGGAAAAAAAAACTCATATCATCTATATACCACCCCCCGAAAATCACTCCTGCCCCTGCAAATATTGTTTTATTTTATTTTCAGAGAACACTAAAGCAAACAAACTAGAGTCCTCCCACAGTCTGTGTTTAGGTAGTTCTCTTCAATTTCATGTTGCTTCTGTTTCAGGGACCAGGCCAGAGACAGGGAGGAGGGGACATGAGGAGGAAGTTAAATTAAATAAAGAAGATTATTTTTTGTTTCCTAAAAAAAATAGGATTCCACCAAAAAAATATGTGATCATGGGAAAGAACTGATTTTATTAGCATGGGGAACTCCAGGTTTGGGAATTCCCTTCTGCCCCTCTTTGTAGGGGTTCCAACATCTGATGCAATGTTTCATTCAGATAAAAACAGTTCCCAAGGTGGTTGAAAGCAGTTTAAGATAAAAAATACATATTAGCTGGGGAAAAGGCAATAGAAAGCACCATTTAAGGAAGCTCCCTGGGGGATTTCAGGTATACTCCATCAATGCCCCAAAAGCTCTTGCTATACCTTTCTTGCTGGACAAGGGCCCACAAATCAATCTACTTAGGAGCCAAGTTAACCCAAACTGCCCCAGGTCTGCACTATAACTTCCTTGCTCGCTGTGGTCCTACCTGCTATTGTGGGAATGTAGGGGGTTAATTCAGATCTCCTCAGTTACACCAGGATCCCAACTCACAACACCTCCACCAATACAGATGGCAACTAGTCTACATAAATAAATCTTAGGAAGTTGTCCAACTTGCCCAGGATCACCTGGCCAGTAAGTACAAGAAGCAGAAGCTGAATCTAGATCTTCCTAAAGCAAATGTGGCATTTCTCTATTACCTCATGATGCCTCTATGTAGTTGAGAAAAGAGAGATTTTTTTCCCTTAACAGGGGAAAAAGAAAACCAGCATCTTAGAGTCTTTTCTGTCTTTTAAATAACACTTTCTGCTTTCATTTCCAAATATCAGCACAGAAAATCAAATAAAAGATAGCATCATTTCATAGGTAGGCTACTATTTTTTTTAAACAAAGAATAAGTTCAAATTGCTGCTACGTGAAATTACAAGAAAAGGATGAGGATGCTTTAAATGAGTTAACTGCAGTCCATCATAGCCACTTCAGAGTGTGAAGAAAACACCACTCAAATGATTTCCCCCCCCTTAATTTGATCTAAATTGCAGCAGAAGTGCTCTGCAAGCAGCAAGTACTTGTGTTAATTAGCTTTTAGTAAAGAAGGTCACTGGCTTAAAGAGGGCTTTTTTTAGTTTCAATTCTTTCTCCCAATTAGGATTCATTAGACCTTTGCTGTATATGAACAAATTATATGCATAGTCACATTCAGAGAATACACCATCCATATATCATTCATATAACTGATGTAGTTACGCATAACATTTACTGGTTTTTTTCTCTTAAAATCCTCATGCAACAAGAAATAATGGCAATGACTCAGCAGACACCTATAGTGCAAGACACGTAGGATAAACTAGTCTTAAAATATTTACCTTCTCCCTAAGTTTGTGCACTTTAGTTGAACTCAAAGAACCTTGAGAGATCACACAAAACTATTTCACTTTAATACTATTGCCTGAAAGAATCTGATATTTTAAGTTAATCTTATATGGTCTAACAAATCATTAATTAAAGATACGGACATCAAGTATATTAATTATGGCTGTTCTGGGCCATCTAAGTGTCTCAGTTTCTTCATGTTCTAGAGAAACAAAACTCACTTGATCAAATAAAAAGAATCACTTTTTAATTACTGATATGAATTCTAACAGCCATATCCCTTCTGCTTTAGCACCTAGGAATAAGAAGAGGGACATATGGTCCCCTGTGCAACATGCTGCCCATCCAATCCATGTCACAAATATTTTAACATCAAATTCTTGGCAAAAGCTTAAGAAAATGTTTGTACGTCATACAGTGGTTCAATAGTAATATCTCTTATTTGCATTTTCCAATTCACCCAGGAGAATACTATGAACTCATTATAAATAATACTGATATGAAATGGGTTTATCCAAAGCAGAGTGATAAAACTTCTCTAGTTATTTAAGTGACACCTTATGCCAGAAGTTTCAAAGTTTAACAGGAAACAGTATCCACACAGCTGCCCTGAGATAGAGAATGTCAAATTCACCTTCTCTTATTTAATATTTTATTTTTTCCTAATTACACATAAAAACAATTTTAACATTTTTTCCAAATTTTGAGTTCCAAATTCCCTCCTTCCCATCCTTGCTCCCATTCAGAAGGAAAGAAATTTGACATAGATTATATATGTGTAGTCATACAAAATATATTTCCATGTTAAGTCATTCTGTGAAAGAAAACACAGACAAAAAAAACCCCAAGAAGAATAAATAAAGTAGAGAAAATGTATCTCTGATCTGCATTCAGATTCTACCAATTCTCTCTCTGGAGATGGACAGCACCTTTCATTAGAAGTTCTACAAAATTGTCTTGGATCATTGTATTTCTGAGAATAGCTAAGTTATTCATAGTAGATCATCATACAATATTGCTGTTTCTGTACAATGTTCTCCTGGTTCACTTTGCATTAGTCCATGTAGATCTTTCCATGTTTTTCTGGGAGCATCCTGTCCATCATTTCTTAAAGCACAATAGTATTCCATCATAAGCATACACAAGATCTTGTTTAGCCATTCCCCAACTGATGGGCATCTCCTCAATTTCCAATTCTTTGCCCCCACTAAGAGCTGCTATAAATATTTTTGTACACATGGGTCCTTTTCCTTTTTGTTTTTTATCTCTTTAGGATATAGACCTAGTAGTGGTATTGCCTGGTCAAAGGGTATGCTTGCTTTTATAGCCCTCTGGGTACAATTCCAGATCGCTCCCCAGAAAATCAGTATACAACTTCACCAATAGTACATTAGTGTTTTATCAAATTCACCTTCTCAAGTGAAAAGGTGTTTCCAACCTGCTTTAGCTAACATTTTTAGCTATGTGAGATAGGACATAGAAACTAAATGCTACTACCTCTGTAACGTTCAACAGCTTAACATTTCAGAATGTGTGGACTGACTCTTTAAATCATTTACTTTTTCATAATTCTCTAAAGTCTTATTTTTTATTAATCACCTCCAAGTATGGAGATTCTGTCCAGCAATACAGATAGCACACTCCTTAAGTCCTAGAAAGTTGTCTGATGCCCAGTGAAGTTAAGTGGGTGATTGCCCAAGGTTCATCAGAGGCTGAATTCAAACACAGGTCTTCCTGAAGCAAACCTGACATTCTATCCATCACTCCATAGAGTTCTAGAGTTAAGACCGAGGAAGATCAAGTTCTAACAAGATACTTCAGTAGCTAATGTATTCATAGTTCCACATTAAGTTTGTTTGATAGGTTTTTCCACACTGTGTTTGATAACTCATGAAACTACAAAGCTTATTTCAGGTAAGACTTAAATGTGGATATGTCCACACAGTGAAAATGTATGCATCTATATAAAGTATAGAATTGTAGCATCTTGTTTATTTCATAAATTTGCTCATTTCAGAAATTGTGGGAGCAGGAAGGATTGCATTAACTGTCCATATGCCTAGACACTCAGAAATGTAGCCCTCTATGTCTAATTACAGAGCACTGGGAAATTGGTGAATTCATCTTACTACAAAAATGTTTAGCTAATGACATATTTAATCAGTAGTGTCATTACATGTGACAGTTCTATTTCAATATCCCTTGACTAGAAGACTAATTCATTAGTAGTTTTTACCAAGACCACTTAGAAATACAGAACTTTAATTTCACATGACATTTTGTTAAATTATCTTTATTTACCATCTGGTTAGTTTAAGCCAATTATCCTCATAAGTCACAAATAGGTAATGGTCACCTATCCTTATATTTTGAAGATGAAGCCTCATTGTGGTATAGTAGAAAGATTTGGAGTCAGGGGAATTTTTAATTCAGCTTACTGAGTAGAAATGAAATCTTGTAGTCTTAGGTCACATTGTACCTCTTTAAAAAGGTTGACTTATTTTAAAAAAAAAGTCTGATTGATGAGCAGTATTAGGATCTAAGCCATAGAAGCCTAGATTTAGATTTGGAAAGGATCTTAGTGTTCATTCAGTCCAACTCCCTAATAAGGCCCAGAGACCTAAAGTGAATTGTCCATAGCCATACAGACAGTAAGTGGCTAAGCCAGGATTCAGACTCAGGTCTTCTGACTTCCAAGTTTCCTTGGAATCTTTGTTTTCACTGCACCACACTGTTCTCTCGTGCTATGCCATTTGAAGTTCCTTTTTCTACTTTCTAGAAAAGCTAGAGCTATCCATAAATAAATAAATAAATAAATGAATGAATGAATAAATGTCACCAGTGATTTGGCCATGTAAATTTAAGAACTTTAAGAACTAAGAGATGTTTTCTTCTTCCTCCTAATGAATTTGTTTAGTTTGGGGTGTGGTGGGGGTGGACAAAAGAACACGTAGTCATGAGCTGATTTAGAAATCTCAAATCCAATGACCACATTCTGATGGAAATAAATGTATTCCATTACAAATACCACTACTCTGTTAGTCTGGCAGTGAACTTCTATGAATTTTGAAAACTGGGGATTTTAAGTCCTTCTCAAACAACGGATTTCTACCTAGTGGGCATCCTTTTAGTTATTTCTAACCTTTCTGAATGACAATTATTATTTAATCTTAAACCCTTCCCCCATATGCCCTTGTCTTAAAAAAAGAAAAAAAATACATTTTGGCAAAAGACCTAAAATAAAACCAGGCTGGTTGTAATTCAAATAGTCCTTAGTCAGGGGCTGATTAGTTGTTTTTTTTTTAAACAATTTTTATTATTGTGACATCAAGGTTATAAAATAAAATATAATGTAGAGCTTCTTAATATTCATTCCTTTTAAAAGCCAAATATAGGCACTGTGATCCTATGGTTCCAATATTCTTATTAATCATTTCTCTCCAGATCTGAAATGAGGATGCTTTCTTCTACAGGTAACCTTCTCAAATTTGTTGATGTGTAAGGGGCACTACCCCAAGTGATGAGTCTTCTGAAGAAAATACCATTCTGCTTGTAGAGGCAGTAGAAAAGGTGGAAATGCCCAAGATGACAACTAGTATCACTGCTACTGTAAGGGGGATAAGGTTGTGGTTGGGGGCTAAAAGAGAATGGAGAAAAGGATACTTTTAGGAACACTGAAAGACAAATATATACTACAAAACTGGTATGAAGCTTTTTAGCAAACTCTAATTTCTAATTTTTATTATCTGGTTTTTATTATGTATTGTATGTGTACATTACCTAGTTATCTTCCATGAGACTAAAAATATTTAATGTTATTACATATTTACCTTTTCCTGGCTTCATATTATTAATATCTGAAATAAGAAAGAGAGAGACAGAAGTTATTCATAAGAAATTCAGGTTTTGCTGGACTACACATAATTTTTCCTTTTTTTTCCCCATGGGAAAAGGTGGAAGTAAGAGGGAAAGAAAATAAGATTATTTTTGTTAATTAAATTTTTAAAAATCAAGTCATTTAAAATATTCATACATTACTGGTATCTAGAAAATACTATGACTTATTTCTTTCAAAGAAAAAGGAAAAGTTCTATATTTACAAGAATATAGATATGTCTCTAGATAGATAGATATCAGCACTTTTTGTTCTGGAAAAAAAACTGAATCTATGGGTGTGTCCATCATTGGGGAATGGCTGAACAAATAGTGATATATAAGTGGGATGGAATACTGCTGTGCTATACAAAATAAGGACAGAGACTGATGTAAAATGAAGTGAGCAGAACCAGAAGAACCAGGTTTACTATGGTAGGGATATTACAAAAATGAATAGTTTTGAACACTTCTGTAAACTGATGAAATATGAAATGAGCAGGATCAGGAGAACAATCTATACAAATAACAAAAACAGCATTGTAAAGACAAACAGCTTTGAAAGCTGTAAGGACTCTGATGAACACAATAACCATTCATGATTCCAGTGGACCAGTGAAGTTTGCTATCCACCTCTTTACAAAGAAGTGTTGGATTCAGGATGCAGAATAAGACACATATTTTTGAACATGGCCAATGAGTGAATTTGTTTTACTTGCTTATGTATATTTGTTATAAGGAACTTGTTTCTCTCTTTTTTCCCCCCCAATGGAGTGGGAATGGTAGGAAAAGAAAATAGATTTCTATTTATTAAAAAAGACAAAATTTTAATTTAAAAATTTTTTTATGCTCTATCTTTTAAACCTGAAGTCCCCAACTTGAAAATTGGGTTCCTGAAGATTACCAGATAATCCTCTAAGCCCACTGCAATAAAACAACTGTCACGCCCCTCTCTTCAATATGTAAGGATTCTCAGGGAGGAGAGGAAGGCAGTGGGTGGATAGGATTTCTCATATCAGTTAAAATGCTTTCTGACTTGTTTGGTAGCGAATAAGACTTCAGTATCTTAAGCTGCTATTTAAAAGGTCAGCCAGTAGATTGATTAGCCCTGAAACATTTGAACTTAAAAACTCTGTAGACTCAAGAGAATGCTGAACTAAAGGGTGGAATGAACCTAAGAGAAGACAAATAATGACAAAACTGGTCCCTAATCTCAAGGAGCTCACAATCTAATGATGGAGATAACATGGAACAACTGTAAACAAACATGATATATACGGGATGAAATGGAGACAAACACTAGAAGAACAGCACAAGGAACAATCTTGGACTTCATAGTTAGAGGTACACCTACCTGTCTCCATCTTACACACAAATCCTATTTTTTCTCCACAAGGAAATAGCTGCCACACACCATCTGTGGTCCTCAATGCAAAACAAAGATCAGCCTTGAGAAGACTGGATTCTGGCTCCCTGATGCCCCAGTTTGAATGCTCTATGGGACTACCATCGAACCATGTGATGGTGCTACCTAGGGGAAAATACTGGATAATTAACTAATATTCAATAAACATTAAGCAAAATAAATTATGTTAGTCTTTAGCAAGCTGAATTTGGAATGGAAAATATTAAGCTGCATTTGGTTTTAGTGGATTGCTCCCTTGATTTTACAGAATATTATAACAATATAAAATTGTATATATGAAGCACTCTTGTGGTCACCCCAGTAATATAACAGAAAAGTGTTTTAAGTAGAGTCACAGAGTCTGGAAGGGATCTTGTAGGTGAAAGACGCAGACATAATCTTAAAATATCCTCATGCTCAAAAGTTATACCATGAACTTGTCTAAACATTCTTATTCTGACTGGGTCATTGCAAAGGGTCAGAGGTGATGGAGTTGAGTTAGAAAAGCCTATCTAACAAGAAAAGAGAGTGGCCCACATAAAGAGTTTCTAGTTCCTAGCAGCCATTATCCTTAGACTAATGGTGGTGTATTACCATTTAACCTCTTTTCTTTTCTCTTCCAGTCACTTACGGTTATTATCAAATTGAGCATTCAACCAGACCACCGGCACAGAAGAACTAAGTGCAGAGAGCTCACTTAGAAGATATGCATTTTCAGCCTCCTCCTTAATTGTTAAAAGATTAGCTCCTGTAGAAGGAACACAAACATCCAAATAGCAATCAGTCATGTTTACACAAAAAGGCATTTTCCAAAAGGATTATCCATATCATCGTCTATATGTCCAGTGTTTAGCACAGTGCCTGGCACACCGTTGGTGCTTAATATAGGCTAGCCAAATGACTGTCCCAGGCACTGAATAGTGTTATTTTTCTCCTGCTCCTTGATTTAGTGCTCCTGAAAAAAAATCACACTGTTGAACAATTTGGAGTTGAAAAGAAAATTTCTGAATTCAAACTACATCATGTATATAAAGGTATAAAATGTAATATTATATCTTTCAAAAGCTTTGAAAATTGATTTTAGGTAACCTTAAAGATTATAATTTGAATACATAAAAGGGAAAGTTTGACCTCTAAAACTGCAAGTCATTTTAGATTAAAAATTTCCATGCTGAAAGATGATTTTCATGAATTATTTCCCAAATGACAAATGAATTACATTTTAAAATTACATCTTTAATGGACTATAGCTTTTCAATTGGCTTTTGCTGCCTGTAGATACGGTAATGAAACAAACCAAGGACATTATATTGTTCATTGAGATCCTATGAAAAACATAGAAAGCTTATTATCATCATTAAATAATTACCTTCCTTTCTGCAAAATTCCCGTGCAGCATCAAAACTTGTGCTGTTTAGGACTGTAGAAAAACTGTAGCAATTATTTTTAAATTTCATCCAGGGAATAGATGTTTCTCTGCATAACTTTGGGTATTCTGATTGCTCTGTTTCTGTGAACAAAAAATAAGTAAGATTTTGGGGGTAGTGATTGAATATATTTATTGATTTAAAAAATGTAAATGATCTTGATTTTTAAAGGAGTTACAAAAGTAAGAAATCTAATGAAATTTTCATAGTAATTATGCATGAAAGATATCTTTCAGTTCAGATAATGATAAAACTATAGCTAGTTTATATAGCATTTTTAACAGAAGTAACAACTATACATAAATAGAATATGGTCCCATTAATATATAGCCGTGTAGACATCATCCACCTGATATTTGGGAGAAGATAACTCTTTTTCAAAGGTCCTGTTGAGAGGAGAAGCTCCTAGGTTGGTATATCGTGTTGGTTATTAGCATTAGGGTCATTGGCACTTTACTGATGTTGCTTAGAATATCAAAGGTGCTACCAACAGTGTAGAAAAATAGTGTCCCAAAATTCTACCTTGCTGCCCATAAGCTTGTATTGGGAACAATGTAATCAAATATCTTTGATATGGCCCAAGAGTCAAATCAGGCCCTCCACCTATTTTTGTATACCAGTGAGCTGAATGATTCTTATATTTTTACATATATTAAAAACTTTAAATAAAGTTTTACATTCTAAATAGAATGTAAAAATCATTCTTAGCTCACAGGGCCATATAAAAACAGGCAGCAGATTACATTTGGCCCATGGGCTGTAATTTGACAACCTCTGGATAAGACGAAATTATGATGTGTACATTTTTAGGAATTTGTTATATATGCCACCATAGAGGGTTTTGTTTTATGTCAGTGAAGCCTCTGCAAATCTAGTTTACTAGATGCTTGCTAATATCTGATTTTCTTTCATGTGAGACTTCATCAAAAATACTTTATCAAAAATTAGCAGGCACAGGGATAATCATAAGCCCCGAATACTATTTGCTAAGTGATGTGATTTGGAAGGTACTGCAGAGAATGAGAAATACTCTCTCTTCTTTCCATTGGTCTCACTTTCTGAGACGTTAGGAATTCATTACTTTTACATAAAGCAGTATCTCCCACCATTTAAAATGCAAATATCATTGGAAGCAAAGAGATATCTAAAGTTGTTGTCAGCTACTGACAATTTACTGTGAATTAGTTTACCAACTTGTTGGAGTTTGAATGGATGGGGAAGAAGGAGAAGAGAGAGCATGAACTTTGTCCTGGGACTATAGGATCACAAACTTAGAGCTGAAAAGGATCTTAGAAATCTCACTTTTAAAAATGGGAAACTGATGCCTAGAGAAGTGCATCTATTTAAAAATTAGTCCATTCAAGAAATCTATCTATCTATATTTATATCCAGTTCTGTCATTTATTTGAAGTCACATAATGTGTAGCATTTTGAGACACTAGGATAGTTCAGGACAGAATATAAGTACATGGTATTCTGGTGTCCTAAGAAGTTGATTCTTCCAAAACCTTCCTAAAAAATAAGAAAGGGGAAAGTTTTCCTGATGGAGGTAGATTGTAGTTGTACAAATTTCTTTTATTTAATTTATAGTGAAGAAGGCATACTAAATACTTTTTGGATAAGTACAATTACTTGGCTCTCATTCAAGGCATGAGCCCAAATCTTGGCCATATATATAGGACAGACAGAGATCCCATCAACTCTATTTCCTTCATCACTAGAATAATGGATGTCTAGTAAGTCAGGCAATATTTACTGGGAATTCACTGCATATATAGAATACAGTTCTAGTTAGTCATAAAGGAAATAGAAATAGTAGATATGTCTCCTATCTTTAAGGAGAAATAACAAATATAAGGAAATATCAGGATATGGATTGCACCTGTAATTTTTAAGAAACTCCCTGGATGAGGAAATTCCCTCAACCAATGCAGGCTGGCACCTTTTCTGCAATGACCTCAGAATGTTGTCCAGAGCAATGAGAGATTAAATGACTTGCCCCAGGTCAGTGGGAGGACTTGAAATGAAGTCTTCTTGGTTAGGAAGCTAGCTTTCTCTACACTGCACCATGTTGTCTCCACCTATATATTTATATCATGTGCATATGCATGTATGCCTACATACATACATACATGCATACATATATATATTTATAAAATTTATATTTCAATTTTAAGCTTTTTCATTTTTAAATGTTAAAAACTTAGGTTAGAACATACACCTATGGAGTTAGAAGGGATTTTAGAGATCATTTAGCCCAAATCCTTTAATTTATAGATGTGGAAAACAGCCTCAAAGAGGTCAAAGGGCGTGCCTCACATGCCATCAAATTGGGTTACTGTCAGAGCTTGGATGAGAACACAGGTTTCCTTACTTCCTTACTTCTTTATAATTTATGCAGCAGGTCTGATAGAAACAATCTGTAAATGGTATGGTAATGAGTGATGATTCTGAGCAGTTAATATATTCATTGTGTTATGTGCTAAAGGTTATGGGGACTAGCAAGAAAATAAGCATGATTCCTATCTTAAAGGACGACACAGTGTAATGAGCTATAGTGAGCTAAATTCTGCTAATCTGAGGAAAGGGTTTGGAGTCTTTGTCTAGAGCAGCCATTTTACATTTAGCATATGATCTGAAAAAGCACAATGTTATGCCAAAGTTTGTAATGTAGTTGTTCTCAGTTTTTATAAATTATATTTTTAAAATGACAGATCATTTCTATCATATCTATAACCCAAGCTATCACATTTTATAAAAGTCTGTAAGGACTTCATAAAGTCCTTGTTCATCTCTCACAGGAAATGCCCATCAGTTGGCTAAGGTTCATTAATGATCTCAAATTGTAGGTTGTATTTGCCTTTACCCTTCTGCTCTCAGCCTAATGATTTGCTTATTAAATAGCTGTTGCCTTCATTATCTCTTAACAAAGAGATAAATTGTGCATATATTTTATTCTTGTTTCCCCAGATTTTTTTCTCTGATGCCTTTTTCTCAGACTAAGAACTCTTTATAGAGCATTTAAATAAAATTATCAGTTAAAAATATTAAGGGTAACAACAGGGATAATCCTAACAAGATCAGATCTTTATATTTACTTCAGCAGGCTTTACTTGAGATTAATTGAGCACTCACAACTACTAGTCCCAAGTCAGGACTATTAGAATATTGGAGTAATGGGACCTTGGGAGGATTACTTTACATTTGTTAACTGCAACTCCCAGCCCACATTTCATATGCTTAATAGATGTCGATCTCAGAGTCATAGAACACCAGACCCAGAAGACATCTTATAGACCATCTAGACCAGGGGTGGGTAACCTGCAGCCTCAAGGCCACATGTTGCCCTCCAGGTCCTCAAGTGTGGTTCTTTGACTAAATCGAAACTTCACAGAGCAAATCCCTTAATAAAAGGATTTATGGAAAAAGGACCCACATGTACAAAAATACAGCAGCTCTTTCTGTAGTGGCAAAGAATTAGAAACTGAAGGGATACCCATCAACTGGTGAATGGCTGAACAAGTTGTGGTATACGAATGTAATGGAATACTATTGTGCTATAAGAAATGATGAGCAAGTGGACTTCCGAAAAAATCTGGAAAGACTTGTATGGACTGATGCTGAGTAAAGTGAGCAGAACCAGGAGAATGTTGTACACAGTAACAGACATGTTGTGCAATGACTAACTTTGATAGACTTAGGTCTTCTCAGCAATGCAATGCTCTAAGATATCTCCAAAAGTCTCATGATGGAAAATGCTATCCACATCCAGAGAAAGAACTTGGAGTCTGAATGCAGATCTAAGCATACTATTTGCTCTTTTTTTCCTTCTGTTTTGTTTCTTCTTTCTTGTGGTTCCTCCTATTGGTTCTAATTCTTCTTTACAACATGACTAATGTGAAAATATGTTTAATAGGAATATATATGTAGAGCCTATATCAGATTGCATGCCATATTAGGGAGGAAGGTGGGGAGGGAGGAGGAGAAAATTTAAAACTCAAAAGCATGTGGAAGTGATTGTTGAATTTATGCTGTAAAACTTGGACTCAGTCAAAAGGCTGCATCCAAGGACCTAGAAGGCCCCATGTGACCTTAAGGCTGCAGGTTCCCCACCCCGATCTAGACCAACTTCTTCATTTTCCAGATGTGAAGGCTGAGGTCCAGCGAGATAACTTGCCCAAGGCTGCACAGCTTACTAGAGATAGAATCTGGTCTATAATAACACACATATACTAATTCTTGGTTTAATGTTCTGTCAAAGAACGACAAAGCCAAAATATGCTGCACCTGGGAGATGTCATACTGCCCCCTTTATGAAACCTGATCTGTATAAGACTATCTTTTAAATATTAGTGAATAAATTTAAGTCGAATAAAATAAATGGCAAACTTTCCGCCATATGAGTTTGACCAGTCATAATCCTACCTTTTGGCACATGACAGATTGCTCCTTGTAGAGGTGTTTCACAGTCTGTACGCCTCCAACGTCCATTAATGGCCACAAATGTACATGCACCCAGAGATGATGAGTCTTCATCTTCCCAGTAAGTGAAGTATGGTTTGGTACCATCTGACCACTCGAAATTAAGACCATTCTACAGAAGGGAATTTATTTAGAGTAGGCAATTTTAATATTTTTTTTGCAAGTCCTGAACCCCCTTGGCTGTCTGGTGAAATGCATAACAAAAATATATAGGATTAAAACAAGCTAATTATATTAAACTATAGTTATCAAAATGCTTAAAAAAAAAGTTCTCAGAACCCAGGTTTAAGTACTCCTGAATTAAAGGTTCCTGGCTGAAATATTGCAGGTTCCTGCTTTGGATGACAATGACTCTCTAAATAAAGATCTCTTCCAAACTGAATATCACACAGCTGACTTCTACACTTGATATCCATATTTCTACTTCAACTCTTCTACTAAGGGATGATAGGATGAAAACTGAGAATAAGAAGACATTCCCTCCTGGATCCTGGGATATCCACAATTTTCCAATAAACAATCAAAACTGTCTCCAAATCGTAGTACCAAGGTGAAAGGAACAGTACCTACAAGTTAAATCTCAAAGATTATTAAAATTATAGTGCTACAACATGACTAATGTGGAAATATGTTTAATATGATTGTATATGTATAGCCTATTCAGATTGCATACCATCTTGGGGAGGGAGAGGGGAAGGAAGGGGACAAATTTAGAACTCAAAATCTTATAAAAGTGAATGTTGAAAACTAAAAATAAATCAAAAAATTAACTTTTTAAAAAAAAGAAATTATGGTGCTAGTCAGTCACTCAATAAACATTTAAGTTCCTACTATGTGCTAGGCATTATTCTAAGTACTTAATAAGTGCTAAAGAGAATAATCAAATTAGGCCTCTAGATACCCAAAGTGACCATGATGGGATATTTTAAAACTTAGTAAATAGGTGGGCTAATTCACTAACGTAAGGTAAAGGCCACATGCTTTAAGAAGGTGAACTAAAAATAATGCACTTTTATATAGCACTTTAGTCTTATTAGCACTTTCCTTACAACTCTGTGAGTCAGATAGCACAAAACCCATTTCTCTGAGTCTCAGTGAGGTAGAGTGACTTGTTTATGGTCATACTAAGAGTCAGTGTCAGAGTTGGTCTCCTAAGTCCAGCTCTTTTCTCATGACCATTTTGCCACCCCATTCAACTCTTCTTTAGGCAAAAATATAACTAAAAAGAATTTGCACCTACGTCTGCCGTAAAGAGTCCAATCCAGTGGGCATGTCCTAGTCTGTTGACAATGACAGTGAGGAAAGACTGATGAAACTGGTCTGTGATACTGACCAATTCTGCTCCACTCTCCATACAGGCTTTTAAAGCAGCATGCCAGGTCATATTAGCACTAATTATTTTATAAGTTTTGTTTCCATATTCTAAGGTTTCTGGTATTGGATACATATTGGATGCATTTATATTATGTGCAGAAGTATCTGTAACAATAACAAAAATATCATGTTAGGTCCCCAAAGAGAAGAAACGACTTATGTTACTAGTTAGTGGCAAAGCCAGGGCTAAAACCCAGATCTTCTGATTCAGCTATCCCAGAACGCTTTTCATCCTACTAGAATCGACTATTTCATTTATAGCATGCCTCAGGAACCAGTGATACTAAATAGTGGGCATGTGACATAACTTTAATAGTTGCCCATTGAAACTTTGGGATAAATACTGAAATTTTCTGACAAATTTTCTGTTTTTGAAGACCAGTAACAAAATGACTACTTAGTGGAATTGTGGGTTGCCTATTTAAATAATTCCCACTGTATGGTGCTTTTAAAAAATATGTAAATTTGCCTTTTTTAGAAGTGCTGTACTTGAAGTCAGGAAGACCTGAGTTCAAATTCTATTTCAGACTCTTACTAAATCTGTATAACCCTAGGTAAGGAAGGCCCTTAACCTTTCAACCTCTGGTTCCCACCGTAAAATGGCTTCTAAAGTCCCTCCCAGCTCTAAATCTATGATTTTAGATGAAGGAATTTAGAAATCATTTGGAGTTCTTGTGGTACAATTGAGGGCCTCAACAAAGCAGGATCAAAGGATATGGATTTAAAGATGGAAGGAACTTTAGCAGTCATTGAGACCAATCCCTCCCCCCTTTTTTTACATTTGTGGAAACTGAGGCATCGAGAGACTAAGTGACTTGTTCAGTGTCAAAAAGCTGGTAAGTATCTGAGGCAGAATTTGAAAGTAGATCTGGAATACAAGTTCATTCTTTATTAATCCATGTTCAACACCTTCTTCAAGCTTTTTGGGCTATAACTGAAGAGAAAATATGTCTTTTCTTTATTTTGTAGCTTTTTTTTTTAGCATGATGTTTTCAGGCATGTTGTCAAATGCTTTCAATGAGGATGAACATGGCATCAAGGTCAGCTACTGCACTGATGGTAAATTCTTCAATTTGAAAAAAATGCAAACCAAGAGCAGTGGAGGGAGTGTTGGTGCATGGTCTTCTGCTTGCAGATGATTGTGCTCTCAATGTAGCCTCTGAAGCTGAGATGCAACAAAGTATGGGTTGATTCTCTGCTGCTTGGGCTAATTTTGGCCTAATAAATAACACCAAGAAAACAAAGGTGCTCCATCAGCCACCACCACACCAGCCATATGTGGAACCATCAGTTACAGCAAATGGAGAGGTTTTGAGCACTGTGGATCAGTTTACTTACCTTGGCAGTGTACTGCCCAGGGATGTACACATTGATAATGATGTTGCAGAGCTAGCTCAGTGTTTGGGAGGCTCCCAAGGAAAGTGTGGGAGAGAAGAGGTATTAGACTGACTACCAAACTGAAGGTCTACAGAGCTGTTGTGCTGACCTCATTGTTGTATGCCTGTGAAACCTGGACAGTATACCAGCGCCATGCCAGGAAACTGAATCACTTCCATTTGAATTGTCTTAGGAAAATTCTGAAGATTACTTGGCAGGATAAGATACCAGACACTGAGGTATTTCTTGAACTAAACTGTCAAGCATTCAAACTCTGCTTCAGAGAGCTCAACTTCGAGGGGCTGGCCATGTTGTTTGAATGCAAAATGTACGCTTGCCAAAAAGACTATTTTATGGAGAACTCACACAGGGCAAGTGTTCACATGGTGGTCAGAAGAAGCCATACAAGGACACTCTAAAAGTATCTCTTAAGAACTTTGGACTTGATTGTGTGACATGGGAGACACTGGTACAGGACCACTCAGCACGCCGTGCCCACAGTAGAGAAGGGGCTGTGCTCTATGAGCAAAGCAGAATTGAAATAGCTCAAGAGAAACGCAAGATACACTAACTTAGAGAATCCACCCCAAAGGTTCACATGGACTGTTTGTGCCTGACTTGTGGTAGAACATTCCAAACTCATATTGGTTTGATTAGCCACAGTCAGACACACTGAAACTTGACTCTAGTATACTGATGTCATTTTGGTCTTCTTGGAAAACAAATGACAACAACAAGCTTAGTAGCCCTTGGAAGAGTTTGATGTCTGTAGCAAATGCTCCACATGGGATTCCAGAAAGGCTCTACCAAGTCACAGCCTTAAGGACATTGTATTAATGTACCTATTTCCCCCCTCAACATTTGAAAATCCAATGGGTGTGAAGTAGAGCCATAGAGTGGCTTTACTTTGCATTTCTCTAATTATAAGTGAATGGGACTTTTTTCCCTTGTATGGTTTTTGATAGCTTGGATTTCTTTCTTAGAAAATTGTTCATATCCTTTGACTATTTATCAATTGAGAAATGGTTCCTATCCATATAAATTTAAATCAATTCCTTATATAGCTTGGAAATGAGACCTTTCTATAAGAAATTTGCTACAAAGGTATTTTTTTCCTCATTTAATTGTTTCCCTTCTAATTTTAGCTGTTTTGGCTTTGTGCAAAAACTTTTTAATTTTATGTAATAACAATTTCCCATTTTATCTTCTGTGATCTCTGGTTCTTGTATGATCATGATCTCTTCTCTTGTCCACAGGTCTGAGAAATAATTTGTTTCATGCTCTCCTAATTCATTCATGATATGGCCTTTTATATCTAGGACATATATCCATTTGGAGCTTATTATGGTTTGTGATAAGAGGAATTCGTCTAAATCTAATTTCTGCCAGATTGCTTTCCTGTTTTCTCAGCAAATACTGTCAAATGGTGAATTCTTTGGGTTCATTGAAAATGAGGTTACTTAATAACACTTTATGTGGTAGCAAAAACTAACAACAAAGAATGGTTGTATAAATTGCTATATGGTGTATGAATGCAATGGAATATTATTATTCTGTAAAAACTGAAACTATGAATTCAGAGAAACATAGGAAAACTTGTATAAACTGATGCAGAGAATACTTTCAGGTATACTACATATACACAGAGTCCCTTCCAGCTTTGAAATTCTATAATTCTGTGATGTAGAGAAAAGAATTGGTCATAAAGAGCCAACATGTGGACGGATGTGGAAAAATTAGGGCACTAATGCACTGTTGGTGGACTTGTGAACTAGTCCAACCATTCTGAAGAACATTTGGAACTATGTTCAAGGGGCTATAAAACTAGGCATACCATTTGACTCAGCAATACCACTACTGGGTCTGTATCCCAAAGAGATCAAAGAAAAGGGAACAGGACCTACATGTACAAAAATGTTTATGGTGACTCTTTGTGGTGGCAAAGAATTGGAAATCCAGGGAAAGGTTGGGGAATGGTTGAACAAGTTGTGGCATATGATTGTACTAAAAGAAATGATGAGCTAGGTGGTTTCAGAAAACTGGGAAGACTTATATGAACTGATAAAGTGAAATGTGTAGAACCAGCAGAACATCCTACATATTAACAGTAATATTGTAAGGATGATCAGCTATGAAAGACTTAGGTACTCTGATCAATACAGTGATCTTAGACAATTAATTACAAAGGACCCATGATGAAAACATCTTTCCATCTCCAGAGAGAGGGCTGATGGAATCTGAATGCAGATTGAAATATATTTTTAAAGACTTTCTTTCTTTTTCTTTTTCGTTTGTGTTCTGTTTTGCAACACGGCTAATATGGAAACACGTTTTGCATGACTTCACATGTATAACCAATATCAAACTGAGAGAATCTGGAACTCAAAATTCAAAAAAAAAAGAATGTTAAAATTTTTTTTGCATATAAATGGAAAATATTTCACAGAATAAATAAAAATCTATGAAAAAATAAAGTCAGCATAGCTTTAACAAGAACATGCCTGATTATCTTCATTTTCTTTTTATAACCTGGTCAGGTGAATACCACAGATATATTTTATCTATATCAGTGGTTCTCAGAGTGTGGTCTGAGACCCTTTCAGGGAATTTGTGAAGCCAAAACTATTTTTCCAATCACACTAAGATGTTTTAAGATATATCCCACATAAACCAAAAGCTCTTTGGGGAGTGATCCTCAACACTTTTAAAAGTGTGAAGGCTTCCTGATATAAAAACATTTGAGAATTGCTGACCTAGATTTTAGCAAAGCCAGTGTGGGACAGTGGATAGAGAGCTGAGTCCTGCCTCTCACACATACTTTCCTTATGACTTTGGGTCAATCACTTATAAGTGATTGCTCAGTGCTCTGGACAAATCTCAGACTACATGTTGCAGAGGATGTGTGGACCTGCCTTCTTTGAGGTAGTCTTCTCATCCAGAAGTTCCCCATTAACAATGGAACTATAGATCTAAAACATAATTCTATTTTTAAAAGACTACGCTTTCCTAGTGTAAAAGATGGAGAGAAGTAGGCCAAATAATAATATGATTAAGTGGTTGTAGAATTGTACCTGAGAATAATCATTGATGTTTCAATATCAACTTGAACGGAGGTTTCTAGTGGAAGGTTCCAGGGACCTTGGCTCTATGCTGTTGGACATTCTTATTAATGATCTAGATGAGTAGCATAAATGACAAGCTTATCAAATTTACAAATGACACAAAACTGAGAGGTGTCAGCTACTACAGTGAAAGATTGACTGAGAATCCCCAAAGTTACCACTAGCCTAGGATGTTGGACTGAATCTAATAAGATGAAATTAAATATAAACGCATGCGCAATGACTAAATACAAAACTCTTAAGGTAGTTTGAAATTGTGGCAGAAGAGGAATGATGTTCAGAGAGAGAAACATGCAACATGTCCACAATTTTGACATAGAATAGATAGCTCTAAAATTCTCAGGGGATTGTCCCTTCAGGGACATTGTTGTATACTAGAAAGATTCCTGAATTTAGAGTTAAAGGACCTGGGTTCACATCTCAATTTTGCTACTCAACAGCTGTATGACCTTGAACAAGCCAGTTTACCTCAATGGGCCTCAGTTTCCTTATTCCTAAAAGGAGAGGGCTTTACTAGACAAATGTTAAAGTCTCTTCTAGCTCTGTATATTGCAATTCAATTGGCCATGGTCTAATGGAGCTAATATTCTCTTTCAGAATTCCACTGATTGGGGCAGCTAGGTGGCACAGTGAATAGAGCACCATCCCTGGCGTCAGGAGGACCTGAGTTCAAATCCGGCCTCAGACCAAACACTTGACACTTACTAGCTGTGTGACCCTGGGCAAGTCATTTAACCCCATTGCCTAGCAAAACAACAACAACAACAAAAGAAAAGAATTCCATTAATTTCTATTATGATTACATGATAAGTATGAAGCCTAAAAGATTTCTTCCCAGATTATTTCCCTCAGTAGTTCACTATCTCTCAACATGTCACTTAAATGCAATAATAGCAATAAATGACAATAATAATAAATTAGTGCTTTCAAGTTTGCAATGTACTATACAAATTAGCTGACGTACAATGGAGATAATTTTGATTCTTAATTAGTACACAAGATAGTCTGTTCAAGCTTGACAGCTCATTGTCATTCCCTTCATCAATGTCACGGTCCTGGACAGAGGACAGACACAAAAAATTCTTCCCACACTCCATATGAATAGGGTAGAACTCACTGGCACTACTAACAAGTAGATCTTTGGAGCCCTGCAGTTCCAATTTCTCTGTCTTTGAACCCCCATGAAGTCCTTTGGTGGGGTTGACTCCTAGGGCAAAAAACATGTGTTCTATGCCAGGTTTGGTCCCAGGGACCATTTGGAGGGGATGGGGATGGGAGCCAATGCAAAGTGTTGTTGTTTTTTCTCCAATTTGGCTACACTCTTGTGGATGTGTTCCTTGTTACCTAAATAGAGAGCTTAGTCCAAGGCCATGCAGTGAAGTCTCCTTATACAATTTAAATAAGTATACAGGATTTATTATCAACTCTGCTCCCCTTAGGAGTTCACTGAAAAGAAGTTGCATGGTGAGGCATGTAGGGCATGGCTATATTAAATAGGAAAAAGAAGACTGACTATAATATTTACCAATGAAAGGGATAAAATGGTTCCTTACCTTGTAGTTTTTCACAGACAAATCCAAAACTTTGTTTCCTACAATCTTCTAAATACCATTTTCCAGTAAAATGAAAATTAGGGCTACTTGATAACAAAGCACAGAGAGGAACTTGTTCTTGAACATTTGTAGAGTTATGGTTCTTATTCTTTAAAAAAAAAGTTATTAGTGATTAAAAAAAATCACAGTGGGCCTTTGAAAATCCAGTATAGAATATACCTTATAACTGATTAAAATATAAATAATCCCTATAAAATTATGTGCAATTAGTTAACCAATTTTTCATATAATCACTGAATCTGCCACAAAGTTAAAAAAATAACAGTGAGAATTAGAATCAACATATTCATGGAATAATGTATTAAATTGTTAAAAAAAATAAAAGTACTAATAAAAGACTAATGCAGATCATTTTGGGTATCGCAGAAAACCTGATAATTTTGACTAAAATTTCCTTCTTCAACAAGATCATTTGTTAAATGACTTCTGAAAACTATATCTTACAACTTACATTTATTATCTCAACTGGAGACCAGTTAGAATATATTACAGGCTCTCCATTTAGCCATTTTTCATAATCATCACTCTGTAGGCCTATCCAAACGTTAGCTTTCTGTCCAAAAAGATTCATTGTAATGAAAGCTGCAAAAACAAGAATACATTACTAACATTAACATCATAGAAACCATTTGGGTAATCACATATCCCTGTTTGTAGCCATGATTACTACATTTAAATAAAGGGGAAACTTAATTACAAATCAGCAGTAGGAGTTTTGTTACATCATCCTTGTTTAAGGTAACGCATTCTTTCTCCTATTTCATGTCATTGTTCACTGACATTAGCTGGATGGGCCTGGGGTCTTATCACACATTTAACAAAACAATTTTAGCATGTTCATGTAATGACTGTTTTACTGAAAAAAAAATCCCTCTACTATACTTAAATCATAATGCACAGCTGGCAAAAACCCAAATCATACTGGGAAGAGAAATCTTTAAATGACTTAGGGAAAATTCATTGTGCCAACAACATATTACATTCTTTGCCATTTAGGAAACTGATCACACGTATCTCCTTATTCTGCACGCTATTCTCATGGGGACAAGAAGAATGCAACACCAGCAGCTTATTGTTATGCATAGACCATTCTAGCCTTTTTAGACTCCATCAGAATGATCATTGCTTAGAACAATGAATATTTATACAGTCCTGGCAATGTACTTACAACCTTCACCTTGAATGAGATGTTTATTTTTAGAACAACACTGAGGATATTCAAATATTCATTTTTTCAACGGATATTTATTAAACACCTAGTGTTTGCTAGGCACTGGGGACACAGACACAAAATAACTCTTGCTCTCAGGGAGTTTAAATTCTTTTTTTTTTTAGGAAGAGGAACATGTATGTAAATGTGTAAAGCATTTGTCTAACAATAGTTAATTTGGTAAAATTAAACTTTCAATAACATACCTTGCTCTACTTCGTTTTCAATGGAGGCAAGTGTTGCATCCTCCTCGGCACAGAAATGCTGAGCACTCTTCCAGGTTTTCTGGTGCCTTGGATCCTTCGGTATTTCCACTAGGAAGCACTTTGGACAAAATTTATTTTTAAGGCATTTTTTCTCCTCTAAAACACTTATTACTGGTGTGACCTTGGGTAAATAAATCAACCATCCTAGATCTCAGTTTCCTCAAAAGTGAAATGGGTTCATCTAGATGGTCTCTGAGGTTCCTTCTGTTGAGGTCTAGGGTTCTGGGAACTCCAAAATTCAAGGGCAAATGACGCAGGTCTTGCCTTGAAAGAATTTGACTCAAGGCTTTGTTCAGTTAGAAACAAAACTGATTAAAACACCAATTGAGGTGGGCAAGATTTTAAGAATCTGTGCTATGTGGTGATGTTTACATTGACAAGCAGGCCAGTCTGTTAAGGAATCTGAGCCTTTGTGATGCCAATACAACTGAGCCAGACTCTTAAGGAATTTGAGCACCTTAAAGGAAGCAAGATGGACCCTTTATACAGTAAGACTGTGGGATGATCTGGATGGGAGTGGACAGGTGACTGGGGAGGTAATAGAGAAGGACCAGGAAGGGCCAGGCGCCCCAGGTGAGCACCAGGGACTTGGGCCATGTGGAAGGGGTCTAGATGGAATACAGGAGTGGCGGTCTAGGGTGGGGCCAGTTGCAGACAATGCAGGCTGGGCTGACTGAGTTAGAGGTAACAGAGAATTGGAGACTGGGGCAAGGTCAAAGTTATAATGCAAAGGACAGTTGAAAGGATTATGAGATGAGCCTCAAGCTCATGTATATGCAAGTACCCACTGTCTTTGGTGTTCATTAGGTTCAGAACAAAAACAATGAATTGATAATAAGTTTAAAAATTAATTTCTACTTTCTCTGGTGCTCTAAGAAAGCCACAACAGAAGTTAATACCACTGATGCCTCTAATGTCTCAGAATAAGCACTGATCTTAATAGTCAGAATATCTAGGTTTGAGGCCTGGTTCTTACAACTTTATGAGTGGGCAAGTCGCAACCTCTCTAAGCCTTAGTGTTCTCATTCATCAAATGAGGATAATGGTACTCAATACTGTAGAGGGTTCTTGTGCAAAGAGTTTTGCAAACCTTAGAACATTATACAAATGTGAATTCTTCTTACGGCTCCTCTATTTTTGTGCTTTTGGTAGCAATAAAGCACAAAAGTATTTGTGGTGATAATGGTGGAATTTGGGAACATATGCTCTCAACTACTGGAATATAAACAAAAATGTTCATTTAGGATATGTGTGTCTTCATTATTGGTACCAAATCCCAATTGAGGCAATTTTCCAGCAAAACCCACCATGCCAGAATTAATATTTAATAGAGGAGAAACTGAGATTTTTAAAAATATCAAAACAAAATGAATTATTTCATTTTCATTAGAAAAAAAACTTTAAATGGAGAAAGGGTGCCATAAAATCAAATTTCTGGTACAATTTCCCACAGATTAAGTATCACGGACATGCAGCTGGGGTGATGTATCCAGCTGCTTCATATGACTTAGGTGAAGTTCTTGATGGTAGGATTTGCCTTGTCAAATCCTTCATTAGTCATTTCACAAAATCTTCATATTGGTATCAACTAAGAATTCCAGCCCCACAAAGGTGGAAAACTTATTAGTGAAAAAGTCACTGTTGCAGATGAGAAGAATAATACCTGAAAGCCTAGGATTTTATGGTCAACAAGATACATCACACCCACCATCTCTTTTCATCCTTGCAGTAACTCTGGGAGATTGAGGGCTGCCGTGCAAGTAACCTTATTCCAATTGTTTACAAATGAGCAAACTGAGGTTCAATGGCATTAAATGACTCGGTCCAAATAGCAAGTATTGTGAGACAGGTTTGAACTTCTAACATCTTGACTCCAAATCTAGTGGTTTTTCCACTATACCAGAAATCCAACCCATAGATGATCCCCAGTTTCACCCAGAAAGTGTCCAAATGCTCATGGAGAGACTTCTGACCTCACCTGAATTACAGCCATTAACCTAAAGGAGAAATCAGTTCTTTTGGACTCCTTGAAACTTCCAGGCATGTAGAACAACTAAATCAGTTTAAAGGCATTGTTTGTTTTTATTTTTACTATTTTTTTTAAGAAAAGGTTATTTTACTGGTTTCCTTTGTGCTTCTATTTATGCATTTCAAATTGGTGGCATATGCTAATTAGTAGAAAGTTATCATTTATTGCTGACTTTTCCTCATGTTCTGCTGTCTGATACCAGTAAACCTCACTAATATGGCCACATATATTTCTCTAGGAAAAAATATCCCCCACAGCTATCATGACCAAGATTTGTCACCTGAGTATGGCAGTGGTGTCTCACATTGTTTCTCCGAATCTATGCAATACCATATTTTCTAAAGGTGATGACGTATTTTCATTTATAATAAAAACCAAGCCACAGAACAAAGTACAGTGTCCTTGTACCCCAGTGTGCACATCTGGGGTACACTTTGCAGCTGTTAGTGTGAACCGAAGACATCTCCCTGTATTTTAAGACATCTCCTTCAAACAAAATAATTTATTAAACAGAAGAGAATACTTAAAAAAGTATGCAGGGCATGAAACCAATTAATGGCTGGATTACAAATTCTGTGGTCCATATTAACAATGAATCAGAGTGAAGCTAGAGATGTTAAGAACCATAAGTGAAAAAGTAACAAAGGAAGAGTAAAGTCTATCTTGTGAAAGGAATGGCTAGAATTGTTCGGTGCCCTCCTTCCCCACACAAAGGCTCCTTGTGTCTAAATGTGGGCCTTTGTTTCTGAAATAAAGCCCAGCTCCTGAGGAGCAAGTACCTTACCACTTTTCCTTCTGGGTGAATGCTGGTCAAGTTGCTTTTGTAAAGGATTTCCAGTAGAGTGTTTTGTACCATTAAAGAGGAGTTTTGTGGGCTCTCTGAAATGCTGAGAAAAAGACATCAAGCCTAACCATCTCATGCCTCAGTTATCATTATCTACAGAGGGCAAATAATCAATCTCCCAGGAGTCATTGGAAGAAAAACCGATAAACATGATTCCAAAGTATTGGACAAATATACAACATAGAAGGGATACATTTCTTGGAGAAGGGGCTCCTGTAATCACACCACATAATCAATCAGTCACTCATAAAGTCAGTTTTGAATTATTAATATAAAACTTTTACCTAGAATAATTAGGAGATACAATTATCAAAATAATTTATTTCTTTTGTTTAGTTGATATAAAGAAGAAAACTGGTCTCTCCAAATTAGTAGCTCTTTTTGAGAGTATTTTGGACATTTGCTTCAGAAATGCAGTATGCTCTTATACTGGTGAATTTTTGTTTGGATTTGCTCCAAACAAATTAATAACTAGAGGCTAAAACCTCTCTTCTTCACCACTGCCATCTCCAAATTTCACCCAGGCAGAAAATGGCATAGGATAAATATCTTTTTGGAAATTTAGTTATGGGCTTGGGCTGAATGAAAACTGTTTGGTTAAATATGGCAAGTGCTGTGGCTTTAATTTAAGAATAATGCCTCCATTACATGTAATTGAGGAAAAATATACTACTGAAAAATGGAAAAAAATTAAAATGACTTGAAGAACTCAAAAAAGAATAATGCCTCCAAAAGTAATGTCAAAGGTTTGAAGAGAGCGCAGAAGAAGGAAGAGTCTCCACACACTGGAAAGACCCTCTGTTGCATAACTTCTGGGAGAAAGTGGATGAGAGTTTCACAAGACAGGTATGGATGGGCAGCAATCTATATCTCCACAGGGTATACTCACATTGATGAGATCACTGATCCATTTGAGAGTATTTTGAGTATTTGAAAAAGGATGAAGTATGAGCTAAATACTAGAAAATGGCTTGGGACCAGTACTATTGGGCTACACTTCTTCGTCAAATACTTGACTCTAGGATATTTATTTCTTTGGTTTTTTTTCTCTGATTCTAAAGTCATACTTGGATTTTCATCATCTACTTGGCATCCTAGTCAGCCTGATACCCTATATGTAGATTTTTTTTTTAAATGAAGCTGTTTGCATGGGCAGCTAGGTTGTACAGCAGATAGAGTACAGATCCTGGAGTCATAAATCCCTAAGTTCAAATCTGACCTCAGACACTTACTAGTTGTATGACTCTGGGCAAGTCATTGAACTTCCTCCATTTCCTCAACTGTAAAATGGGGATAACAATAGCACTTACCTCCCAGGGTTGTTGTGAGAATCAAATGAAATCATACTCGTAAAGCACTTAGAATAGGACCTGGAAAATAGTTGGCATTTGTTACCTTCCCTTCTCTCTCTCCCATTAGATTATGAGCTCCCTGAGAGCAGGAACTATCTTACCTTTTTTTTGTACACCCAGTGATTAGCATAGAGCCTGACACATCTTAAGTGCTTATTGACTGATTTATATAGTTATTTTGCACTGGTGTTGTTGTTAAGTCGTTTCAGTCGTGTCCTACTCTTTGTGACCCCATTTGGGGCTTTCTTGGCAAAGACACTAGAGTGATTCACCATTTTGTTCTCCAGCTCATTTTACAGATGAGGAAACTGAGGCAAAGAGAGTTAAGTGACTTGCCCAGGGTCACACAGCTAGTAAGTGTCTGTGGCCGGATTTGAACTCACACAGATGAGTCTTCATGGTTTCCAAGCCCCGTGCTCCATCTACCACACCACCTGATACATTAATTTGCACTTATTTGTTCCTCAATTGTTCCAAATGTGCATTTTGAGAAGCTACAGTTTTCCTAAGTATGACTAAAAACAGGTTAATACCATACTAAGATAAAAAATGAATGTCAGAATCACAGAATTCGAGAGTTGGGCGGTCCTTAGTGGCCATGTAATCCATGCACAAAAGGAATCAGCTCTACAACATACTCAATAAAAGGCTACTCAGCAGCTCATTGAAGACCTCCAACTAGGGAGAACCAGACACTTCTCCAGGCAGCTAATCCCACAGCTTTAATCAATTTTTTCTAAAATCAAACCCAAATCTGCCTCTTTGAAATTTCCATGCACCATTCCTGATTATTCTCTGAATGAATATAACCTCTCTTCCATATATCAGCCCTTCAAATACTTGAAGACAGCAACCACATCCCCTCCTGATTGTTTTCTTCTCCAAGGTAAACACAACCTATTCCTTCAATGGATCCTCAAGGCTCTTCATTATCCCATCCTTTCATTGCCCTCCTTTGAACACTCTGAAGCTTATCGACATCCTTCTTAAATTGTGATGTCTAGAACTGAGCCTGATACTCCAACGAAGTCTGATGAGGGCAGAGGGGTACAGAACAATCACTTCTCTATTCCTGGAAGCTTTGCCCCTCAACCAGCCCAATACAGCATTAGGTTTTGTTTTTGTTTTTGTTTTTGTTTTGGCTGCTAAATTGCAAGCTCACCCATATTGAGCTTGAAGCCCACTAAAACCCTAAGACCTTTTGGTTTATAATTTAATGGCGTCAACTGCTAAATTCTTCATACTGTAATTTAAATTAAATTTGCAGCTTCAAATGATAGGAAGTAATTGTTTACTACAATGTTGTGAGGTCATTGAGATCAGCCATATTGTCTAACACAGAGCTGGCTGGACCATGAGTATGAACCCATGACGATAAGGGCTAGGTTTTCAGTTTAAGAGTTGAAGAAAAATCAGAGGAAAGAACCGGATACCATTTCAATAAAGTGAAATAATTAATAGTATGTATTCTGTTAATTTAATAGTCTGAAACAGTGGGATTATGATTTACTTTGGGTTTCTAAATTATCAAAATAACAAATAGTTAAATGATTGTAACTCTTGGCATTCATGGCAGCAGCTTCCACCTAAGGCCCATAGAATGATTTATAAAAACTAGGCATGACAGAGGAGATAGAGGAAATATTCAGGAGTTAATTAAGCATAGTCTATGAAATCACAGCTCTAAGGTAACATAAGGCCTACTGGTAAATCTTTCATTTATTTCAGTTTGCATGGAGATTCAGTGCTTTGTGAGGCTTGAGACTGATCTGAACAATCAAAGACAATTATGTCTCAGTTCATAATGTGTTCACGACAGGATAGTGGGCCCCAGACACATGAGACACAGAAGAAATGGAAGACTCAGGCTGTCTTGGAGGAGTTTAGTCTTACCTCAAGGTAAAATTCACATGCATAAAACAACTGAAAAGCAAGTTTACAGGGGCACAAATGAATATATCAGCCATATTAACCAATTATATAAAGCTAGGAGGTGTGCAGGAGGAGAGGAGTAAATAGACTGCTAAATCCTCATCCAAAGTGTTTGTACAGAGGTAGAAGCATAAACTGAAAAATTATCAAGTAGGCTGAAAGCCAAAAATTAATTTCCCATTTCCTACTTATGGATTTTGCTCTTCATAGTCATTTTAATTTCTTTTTCCCTTTCCCAAAATGGAAACTTATTTTGCAGAAAAATAACTCACCACTTGAAGTCAGGTTTACCTTATAGTCAAAGTACAGCCATCCTTTGGGACACAATCCATGTTGTTTTGGTATATCCCTCTCTTTCTCTATAACCCATATTTTTTTACGCTTACAAATACTGGACATAGAAACAGAGCAATCTTCATTACTCCAGAGTCCTTAGAAAGAGGAAAATTTTTAAAAAATTAGAAAGGCCTTGAAAATATTGTTGATTCAACCACCCCTTCAACAAATGCTGTGGCTATCTATAGTTCACTCATTCTTAAAATTTATTATTCATTCTGGCAACTGAACTATAATTAATGCATCATCATATATATATTTCCAAGCAATATTGGCTAACTGGGCAACACTATGCATTAACTCCAAGAGTAGTTTATGTACATGGGCATTTTGCAAAATCAAAGAAAATGCTTGCCAGAAAGGGGAACCTTGTTGACACTATGTGAATATTTGGCTCATGCAGGAGAGTTATTCCTTCCACATTGTGACTTTCTCCATTGAGGTTTCAATATTTTGTGGGTTGACATAAGAATTTAAATGGGAATTTTTTGAGAGTTTTGCAGAAGCCGCAGATAACACACAAAAGCCAGCAGATATAGGAAAAGTTTTGAAACTCAGAAATGCATAAAACATATGTACAGTATTATATAACATCAACATATTTCATATTTTAATATCTTACTAATTCAGACTTCTTCTCTGGTATAAAGGGAGGGCCAAAAAATTTTATAAGGATTTTCCAGATAGTGTGGGCACCGTTCCCCTAACCCCAATGACGTGGAAGGGATAACTGTACTGTATTTTGTTACACTAACACTTTTGTTTAGAAATGTTTAGCTTTGACAGAAAGGGAAAGGACAAAATAAGAAGACTGCTTAATTACTTCAGAATTTTGTAGTAAAAGAAGTTTCCAGAAGAATAGATTGTGTGGAATATAAAACTATTACCTGGACATCTGTAAGAAGCTACACAAAAATTGATAGCAAAAAGTCAAACTTCTTAGCAAAGAGTACTGGCACACACACACACACACACACACACACACACACACACACACACCCATCCATATTTCTACTCACCCACCCTGTCATTTGTAAGAAACTAGACTTTCTAGGTGGGTATTTTCATGGATTTCAAGAAGGATTTCTAAGCAGAGGATTAGGTCTAACACAACACAGATTGCTTTGAAGCTGAATCTTTTATGGGCCGGCAATACCCACCAACTGCACAGGGCAAGTTTACTGCCCTGGTGTCAGCAGTGTGAGCCAGAAGGAATTCATCATTTTGAAAAGGGAGACCTCGTGTTTTTCTTGTTTAGATGAGCCTCTGTATTCTCAAACTAGCTTTCTGTAGACTATTGTGACACCTGCTGGTAAACTCAAACTGACTAATCACAAGGCCTTTTCCTTTTCTAAATGTATCCGGGGAGGAAGCTCAGGCATCTTGCATCACGTGGCCTTCTTTTCTTCTGCTTTTCCTGACATTTGGTCACAAGGTTAGCATAAAGCTGGATCTCATTTCAGGGTCAATGGGAATGTTTCCATTTATTGATTAGAAACTAGGAAGTAAATGCTGTAAAAGCAATGCAGTTTCCAAACAATCTCAGGAAAGAGCTATGTAATTTGCCAGGGACTCTAAGTAAGCCTGATGGTAATTACAGAAACTGGCTTTGTCTTTCTTTTTTATAAACAGTGAATGTTAACACGGCCAAGTTGGGGAATGAGTTATTTTTAATTAAGTGTGAGTGTAAAATAATGCTACAAGTAATCATAAAAACAAATTGACAAGAAGTTTACACAGCCAAAACAAAGCCTCCTGGGAAATAAAATACATTACTCATCTTAAGGTAAAGGATTACTAAACACAAGGTGTAAATGACCACCCTACTAGGCCAAATAACAGTTAATGACAGGCCCTTAACAAGAGGACATGGACACATTTTCTCAAATCCAATTTTCCTTAAATGTGAGCACTCAAGTAAACTCACAAAGGCTAAACCTTTAGCCAACTAATTTTCATCTACAAGAATAATGAGTGAAAATGGATGCCAAGGGTCCATTGCTTCAAAGAGCAAACCCCACAATGGGTAATTTCTTTAAATCAGTCGCAGTAGGCTGTTCCATTTTTGCTGTTACCTTGGTACACAAGACAAGTTACCAAGCTGTAAGCAAATTATGTGATGATGATCATATAGACAATACCTTCAGGGTGTAGATTCACAAAGAGAAGCAAATTAACTTGAAAAAAAACCCCTACCACTACCACATCCCTAAAATGCTGCTGATGTAACAAAAAATAGTTCTTAAGCAACTTTGCAAATTATTAATTTATGAAGAGTGCCCCCCAAAAGAAAAACCAAAAGACCTGTTTCAGATGAAATGAAGCCACATCTTTGACTCTGATTATTCACAGATCTTTCTCCTCCATCATCCCAGTTCTGGTATATTAATGGTGAGCCATCTCTCCAACTATAAGGAAATTAAAAAAAATAAAGCTCATATCCCTCTCTTGTTCTGCATAGTCATCTCTCAGCATCATCTTTATCTGGGGTAGGGAGGTGAATCAAGGTCAGAATGCTCATTTTAACTCATAAAGGTACACAGTGTCTTTTTTTCTGGGGAGAATGAGACTATAAGCAATAAATTATGATTGAGAGACATGATATGCAGTGATCACACAGATTGGTTTAATCATTCTGAAAATCAAGTCTGTCAATGAGAATTAAATACAATTAAATGCAAATCATACTGAAATCCATCCTTAGGTCTTTCTTCACGGAGCCCAATCCACCAATTCTTATTATTCTTTGATAGCTGGCAAAAAAAAAAGGGAAAACAAAGTTAGCATTTATTTGTTCTTTGTTATCTTTTCCAATTACCTAGAAAAAGACTATACCTACCACTGCAAGAAAACTTGAAATTTGTTACCCTAAAAATATTTTATATCCACGATGAAAGGAAATAGAAACCAATAAACATAAATAATCACGGCTCTCTCTCCCCACTGCAAAAGAGCCTTTAACCAACCAATTAGGACCACATATTCAAGAGCGGTTTCCAACTCCATTAAAGATCTTAAAAAGTAAAAAGTACAAATCACAAAAAAGATGGAATACTAACTAGCATTCTCTTTTGACTGAAAAATTAAGTTTCTATTTTCCCAGGGATATTGACTGGTAAAGGTTAAAAAACAGCTCAAGCCATAAAGATCATTATAATAACTAACAGTACTACCTTCTCCATTCAAAGAGAGGAGAATGCAAAAAGTCCCCATCACAAAGCTGCCAATGGTTTGCCAACTGACTCATGTATTTGATGGATTTTATATCAGTATTTCTTAATGGTCAAGGTATACAATCTAAGCATACTGGAGCTTAAAATAAAAAGGAATGTATTCATTCCAAAGAAAATTTTAGTAGTAGAATTATGACCCAGAGAATTGAAACTCTTTCCCTATATTCTAAAGTCTGCACACTCAGTAACTTGACTTTTAGGGAGGGACTAGTGAGCACATCAGTCTTCATGCTTTAAAAAGTCAACATACAGACAGAATCCCAAAGCACAAAACAATAGGAACTTAGCACACTTATCAGCAAATTGTTCGTATCAAACATCTTCCTTCCAACAGCTTTTTTTTTTTTTTAACAATTGGAGCATTGGCTTGAAGATCTTTAAGTTGGTTTGGAAAACAAGTATTTACCAATCTACTCCCTGTTGTGCTTTTTCAATACAGCTTTTCAGTTGCTGAAAGAGTGGGAAACCAAATAATGACTCACTTTTCTCTGGATGAAAGGTCCATGGATAACATTAGAAAACATTTAGTTAAAACTATTCCCTTTATTAGCCTTTTGGAGAGGTTTTGTCCAGTTTGTTTATATAATGGTTGGGTCTGGTCACACAGCTACATTTTGTTGTTTCTTAGCACTGCTACAATTCTAAGAACTATTTAAGTGAGAGTGAGTAAACAATTGATAAGTAAAAAAGAGCAATACCGTGAAGCATTTGCCCTGCTTTTGTTTTCTGAGATGCTAAAGGTAGAAAGTAAGGTTCTCCGTGTTTTAGTTTTTTTTTTTCTTTAAGGAGAATGTGGCTCCATCTTATTTTATCACTCCAATAGGGATTGGCAAAATGAGGAATCTCTTTATTTTTGGACCTTGTGACCAATTTAAATGGTCAAACAGTTAAAAAACGGAAGAAAAAAAACCAACCCTATTACTAGCAGGAAAAAAGATACTTTAGGAAATTTAATGTGCACACCAACTACAGATTTCATACTGCCACTTGAAATCAGGCCATCTGGCTCCTCTTGGGGCCTATCCTACATACTATATAATGCCTCAGATAGTGGCAAGGGCTTGTGTTAAGAGAGCCAGTTGGTAGTTAGCTGAATGTGCTAGGTGCTGCAAGGTCAGTCTGGTATCCAGATGAAATGGTCAAAGACTGACAAAGTGGTGGTAGTCCCTGTTAAGTTCCTAGGTCTTCCCAATCCATTTGGATTTTCCACTTATTTTGGCCAACCCTAATGATTGTGAGATTAGGGGTGGGGGAGGAAATTTTTAGGTTCATCAAATCATACAATCATGGGTTTTGAGTTGCAAGGGGCTAAAAAAGGGCCTTAGAACTCTTCTAGGGTAATCCCCTCATTTTAAAGAGGAGAAAATGGAAATAAGACAGGTCAAGTGACTTTGCCAAAAAATCACACAGGCACTAAGTGACAGTGTCAGGATTCAAACTCAGCTCCTGTGACTCCAAGCTCAGTACTGGGAAATTCAGTGTCTTTTCCACTGCACCAAGTTGAGTGTGAGGAGAGAGTAATGGGAATATAGTAAGGAATGGTTGCCAGGAGGGTGTAGAAAGTCTTACAGGAAAGTTTAATCTTTATCAGAAAAATTAAGATGACCTCTTTATTAGTAGAGATGAACCGATGAGAAAAACCCAGAAAAGTTAAGTGACTTGTCCAATGTCACACAGAGATTAAAAGGCAGAGCTGGACTCCAAAGTCTGCACCTTTTCTACTGTACCGTATTTTATATTAAATATTACTTGATCAAGAATAAATAATTATAACATCCTGCTGGTCTTAAAAGTTCAAGACATTATGTCTTTCTTCTCTGTCTTTTTCTGTCTCTTTCTGTTTTTAAACCCAGTCTCCTCACCTGGGACGGAAGTGCAGTGGCTACTGGGCCCTACCTCATTGCTGATTGATATGGAAGCTTTAACCTGCTCAGTTTTTGTGACCTGCCTTGGGTCACCCCTCATTAGTTCACCCAGTAGACCTCCCCTCCTGTAGGCTCCTCATATTTGTGCCAGACTTAGTGAGGACACCCTCCTTCTTTTTAAGCCCTCCTGTAGCTTGACAGAGCTCCCAAACACAAGGCCTCAACCTCCTTCAGTAGCAGAGATTACTGGAGTGAGCCACCATATATGGACAAGGTATTATTCATTGATCAATTATTATACAATAATATGAAAGTGCTAGATCTGGAAAGGATCCTGTAGGACCACCTAGTTTTTCCCTCTGCCTTCAGGCAGAAATATATATAAACCATAGATGAAAGATGAGGTTTTATTTCATTTTCAAAGGTTTCTAGCGACAAAAGCCACAACCTCTTTTGCTAATCCTTTTTCCTGTTCAAAAACTCTCACATTCTTCTCCTCAGCCAGTCAAAGTTCTTAATCCTATGGTTTAAGCCCATTATTTTTCTGTCCTTAGTAGAAAAGGGGAATTGTTAGTCACCATCTGCTGTACATGAACTCTGTATAACTTGAAAGCAAGGGAAACAGGTGACTTTAATTAAAGAATAAACTTTGCAAAACCAAAATCCCTGCTTCTTTAGCAACATTCTCACTAATCAAGAATGAAGCAAAATGAAATGAATGACATCCACATGCCAAGGTCAATTTTCTCGCCTTCTCAATCTCTCTAACAGAAGATTAAAAATACGGTCATGTTTTCTAGAAAGTTTCAACAAAGGTCTGAAATCGACATGGAAATGTCTCAAAGAATACAGAGTGGGCTGATGTTTAAAATCTTCAAGGTTATTGTGTAGAAATTGTATCTGATTACCACTTTTATTCTGCTGTGGATAAATTCTTGTTCGAGCGCAGAATGAATGGTGAGCATATCACTACGGAGCCAACCACAGACAAACTCAAAACTCTCCCACTCCGAAGGATCACTATGAAAAAGATATTCGGTCCCTTGATGGAAAAGCCATGGTTCATCTAAAATATAAATGTTAAAAATTATGTCAAATGATGTACAGTGTACTTAAAAGAAGACATAGTCATAGTGTGATTAACTCTAAGATTGTCAAAGATTTTTCTTTTTAAATTCCTAAATCTCTCATTTTCTTAAAAAAAAGTTTTGTTGACATTTAAAATTTTTACATTAAGTCATTTCTGGATTAGCTCCCCTCACCTGCCCTGAAATGAATCCTCTCTTTTAATAATGAAAAACAAGCCAAAAAACCCAACAGTGACTACATCTCAAAATGTATGTAGCATTCTTTTCTGGCAGTTGTCCATCCTTTACCTAGAACAGGCAGGTATATTTTACTATCTGTTCTCTGGGGCCAAAATTAAAGGGTATTTACTTTGCTGTCTTCCATTTATTTTTCTCATTTAAATGATAGTAGTTGTACATATTGTTCTTTGTTTTTGCTTATTTCATTCTACAATGATTCATAGGAATCACCCCATGTTTCTTTGAATTCCTCATATTTTTGTCTTGCTGCATAGTAATATTCTATTACCGCCATGTAGCATAATTTGTTTAGTTGTTCTCCAATCAATGGACTCCCTCTTTGGCTGTAAGTCTTTGGATCAGGATTATGGAACCTTAGGGATAATTTAATCTAACCTTCTCATTTGGGTTCTGCTATGAATATTTGGGGATATATTAGGCATTTCTTTCTTTCTTGGAGCTCCTTGGTTACATGTCCAGTAGTGGTATTTTTGGGGCAAAGAGTATGTACAGTTTAATCTTGCACAATTTCAAATTGTTTTCCTGAACAGGTGGACCAATTCACAGAAATACTAACATCGTGTATTCATGTGCCTTTCTTCCTATAGCTTCTTCAACATAGATGGCTTCTATTTTTTGTCATCTTTTCTAATTTTCTGGGTGTGAAGTAAAATATGACAGGTGTTTTAAATTTTGTTTTACTATTAATGATTTGAAGCATATTTTCACATAACTTGATAGTTTATAATTCTTTTGAAAACTGTCCATAGTCTTTTACCACTTAACTTTGGGGAATGGCTCTTGTTCTTCCTTATTTGCGTCCATTCCCAACATTCCTTTGTGAATTGCTCATTTTCCTTAATCTACTACGACTATGACTACGACTACTACTACTACCACACCACACACACACACACACACACACACACACACACACAATTAGTCTTTAAAAGGCAACAATAAGTAATATAATAGCATCTCAATAGCATTTTCAGACAACAGTTTTGAGAGGAAGGAAGTAAAAGTCTCATTTTTAAAGATGCATAAACCAAAACTTAAGAGTAGAGAAAACATTTGTCAAGATCATCAATCCAGGAGTTAGATTCCAGTCTTCTAACTTCAAGCCTAGTGCCCATTTAATGAACTATTTCTTATTTTTAAATCACAAATCATAAAAATGGAAATAAATTATAATATTAGTTCCCAGGAACATGTAACTACATCACTAACTTTAAAACGGCAGAAAGGAAGCGCTGATAATGACAGAAATGGAATAGTTCATAACAAGATGAAGAATTGTCAGGCTAATGGCTTACCATGCATGTACCATTTTGGAATCTTTGGTTTTACATCTGCAAAAGAAATAGATGATTTATAAATAAAAGCAAACTAATTAATTGAATATTTTCTCACAGGAGGCATTTCATCTAAAACAGTTTAAACTTAAAAGTATCTTTTAATTTCAGCTTAAAAATGCTTATACAATTAATAGAAGTAATTTGTGATACTTGACATAATATATGTGTATATATATGCATATATATATGTATGTATGTGTAAAACACTGCATATTTGCAGATGATGTTACTGATGGCATCCACTAACCTTTTTTAAAAATACCAAGATGACATTTTTTTTTCCAAATTGCAGAGCTAGGTCCCAATTAGTGTGAACAATTTATCCTATAGCAAGCCAGCACAACATACAGCCTGTGCCAAAGCAGCACACAGACAGTATGTTGTGTAGGCCTGTTTTACATCCTCTACACCTGAAATCCTTTGGCAGGCCACAAATGGCCTACAGACTGAATATTGTGCAGGCTTATCCTATGTAGTGGTCGCATTATTTGAATTTGTGCTATATAGAAATCCACTGGATAAGAACTAATCAGAATATTTTACACAATTATAACTCTAAATTTTAAAATATTCAACCACTTAATAGAATTCATTATTTGCATTAATTGAGAACTAACCATACCTTCAGAGGCGATAGTTCTGCAATTAAAGAAGAATATGTTGATAACTTGTGTTAATGACTGAATTCTTGAATACTGGTGGCATTTTTTCTCATTTCTTTTTTTTTTTTTGGTGAAGCAATTGGAGTTAAGTGACTTGCCCAGGGTCACGCAGTTACTAAGTGTGAAGTTTCTGAGGTCAGATTTGAACTCAGGCACTCCTAACTCCAGGGCCAGTGCTTGATCCACCACGCCACTTAGGTGCCCCTCTCATTTCCTTTTAACTCTCAAGAAGCTATCATGCCTCCTTTCTGTAAAGATGTAAGGTGCAACTAATTACATATATTCAGTGGAAACAAGTTCAACAAGTTGTTGGGGTTTTTGTTTTTGTTTGTTTATGTTGGGGTGGGGGAGGTTGGTCTGGACCTGTAATTTTACCGGTGTGGGGAAGTTCCTCCCCTGGTGCAGAGCAGCTATCGGGGATCACTTGTGGTTTTAAATAATCTCCTGGGGAACTGGGAGGTTCAGTGACCTGCCCAGTATGTGTAAGAGGCAGGTATTGCACCCAGGGCTTCCAGCAGTGATGTGGACTCCCCATCCACTACCTCCCACTGCCTCCTGGCTGACAGGGATATAAAGCCCATATGTGTTAGTCCCACATTCCTTCATCCTTGGGGAAAAATAAAAAAACACAACACATATACACCGACGGAAGCTCTTTATATTTTTACCTCTTGGTATTTTACATATCCATTCCCGTTTGGAACCACACAGCAGGGGCAATAAAGTTTTGTTTGCCTGGTACACAGCACAATTTCTTGCATCCTCTCCAAAATAAGCATTTTCTAAAAATGAAGCAACAACCTGCAGCAGAGGAAGGTCATTACTCCTTAATAGAGACCTTAAAGAAAAGTTTTTGAAAGTTTTTATTTTTCTTAAAGAACCATCACTAGAAATAGTCATCATTATTATTATTATTATTATTATTATTATTATTATTATTATTATTATTTTTGGAGAGAAGTTCAGAAATGTAGGCGTAAGGTTTCAGTTAAAGTCTGCTGCTCCCCACGGTGCAGAAGCTACATAGCAAACTAGACCTTTATCTTCTGAAGGAACCTAGTGGCCAAATTTTTCCTTTCTTTCAAAGTTGCAAATAAAAACAAGTTTTGTGAGTATGTGTATATTTTATGAAAACTTTTAGGATTATGTTACATAGACACAATTGGTTGTAGCCTTGGGATTTCTAGCAGTTTCTGCAAGAAACTCAAAGTATTGTCAGATTTGAGTAATACCTTTGATGTAAAGCCCTTTGGGGCAAAGCCCAAGATTTTATGCCACTAATAACTGCTTTCTAACATCTAGGTAGTTTTAATCTTCAAAATATATAACACTTTCCCAAGAGAGATCACATAACCTAGAAATGAAGAAAAAATCCTCAATAATTTCCCACACAACTATGAAATGACAAGATTCCATTATCTTGTCAAAACAGGGGATGGTCCCTAGATAAAAGACATACAAAATTATTGATAGTTGATAGTACAAATGGTTTTTAGCCAAAAGGCCATTTGCTGACTGAGGTAAGAAATGACTAAGATGGAACCCTAAGCTCACACATTTTCCATTCCCACACATAAAACAATTCACCAATTTAAAAATGACAGATGTTTAGAGAACATGCATTTTGTAGTTCATTGTGCCCAGGGAGAAGGGGTGGGGATTTGAGTCAGTAGTTGTATCTTTTTATTTCATTTACTTTGGGTAAACGGTTTTACTTAATTTTCCCTGAATTATTTAGTGTATTTATTTTGTTTAAACAAAACAGTGTTTATCACCTATGTAATAACAACATTAAGTGTTAATATCCTCATAACAACATCATATAATGGATAGAGGAAATAATGTTAAAGGTGGGAGCACTGCACCGAAGACAAAACCCTTGCTCTGGTGTCTGAGGATCTGAGTTCAAATCTTACCTCAAGTGTTGATTACCTGTGTAACCCCTGAGTAAGCCACTTAACCTCTTAAGCCTCAGCCCCTCATCTGAAAAATGAAGGGTTGGATTAGGCAGCCCTTCAGGTACTTTTTTGCTCAGATTTTATGATCTCCATTCTGCAGATTTATAAACTATGGCTCAGGGGGATTAAATGTCCACAACAAGTAAGCAGGAGTTAGTCTTCCAATAGTGTTCAGTACTCTATTCACTATACTGTGCTGGCTTTCACTACACATTTTCCAACTACTTCATTGACACTCAGTACTTAATTGTATTGTGTGTCCTTTCATATCATTTATGTGCTATATTGCTTTGTTACAACCAATCCACGCTTTAGCTGGGTTTCCTCTTGTGATTCTACAGCAGATGAAGAACCTTGATAGAATATTGGTGATGAACTTTTGCAACTAATAAAACAAACATATAGTAAAATTCCTATATCTAAAAAATTATGAGTGATTTTGATTTCAGAAAACTGAGAGTTAATATAATCCCCCAAATCTCAGCTCTTGAAAGGTATAAAATTTGTCTAAAAGAAGTCACGTTTCAGGCTGGTCAGACACACTCAGAGAAGAACAGGAGCACGCAAGGAAAGCTTGGTGTGAGCTCTCTAATAAGGAAGATGAGTTAAGTCTAAAGGAAGTCAGGAAATACCACACAATTTCATTGGGAAGGGGACTCAGAGATGATAGCATCCAAACAGTATCTGAGCAAGAATCCCCACCATGACATTCCCAACAAGGGGTCATCTAGTCTTCACCTGAAGACCTCAAGTGAAGAACAACGTACTACTTGATAGGTCAACCTGTTCCACTGTTGGACAGATCTAATAGTTCAGAACTAGAGTTGATTCTCGTCACTTGTGGTAGTTATGCTCCATTAAGTCACTATGAACAATGAATCAGTGAATACTGACCCATTGCTCCTAGGTGGTTAGGTTTCTACAGGCCTCTTACTTTTAGCACTTTGTGGAGTGGCTTTACATACAAATTGGAGAATTTTACTCTTCTTCCTTTTTTCTTATTTGGATGCATTATTGATTCATTAACATTAAATTCATGGCCAACAGTACTACAACTCATGCCTAAACAAAGCTTATCTAACAAACATTTTTTTCTGTACGGCATATCACAACCTTCTTACACTTAAGAACCTTAGACAGCACTTCAGCACTATGCTTAGGGGCCATTTTAAACAGTAAATTACCAACAAGAAGCACAAAAATGTGAAAAAACGGGACACTAAATAGACTGTGTAAAGAACACTTGTTTACAGTATGAACACTGAGACAAGAATGCAGTGTTTCACCTTATTCAATATCAGTTGGGAACTTGCCCAAATTTTTTTCAAATTTTTCAAAGTTTTTGCCTCTGCACATGTCTGCAAATGATCACAAAAGTGCTGTGAGTACTAATTTTAGGCTTACAAATAAGTTTTAGTTGAATAGGTGAATTTGCAAATATGGAATCTGTGAATAATGAGGATTAACTGTATTTCCTTAAAGAGCCTTAACCCTACTCTTAATAATTCTTATCCGTTGTTCCCCTTTCTTCTCTCTGGAGGGAAGCAGAACAAGGGTAGTGTTCCTCTTCCAATGGCTCTATCTTCAATGATCTATGAGCTATGTGAAGACTGCTGTATCTATCATTTAGTATGGAGCTCCAATATTCAGGACTGGGGGATCCCAACCATCAAGTGAGATTGTTCTTTGTTTCCTCCAAGGCTTCTAATACTCTTTGGGATTTTCTAAGCATGGTCCCATAATTGTCTTGCTTGCTTACATGTCTGGCCTCAGGCTCAGAGAAAATCCCAAGAGGAAATACTGCAGGCTAGACTAGAATCCTTGTTGTTTCCTTATCCTGGCCTACATGTTCAGGTTTGGGCTCCCTGAATCTGCCCAAAGAATAAAGGGTGTAGGTCATGGAAGACCTGGCTAGGACCACCACATTCCCAACCTGCCACAGTTATATCAATGTTTAGAAAGCAAATGAGGAGGTTATATAGCACCATCTGTTTCAAAGTAACTATTTAGTGTTTTCAGTCGTGTCCAACTCTCTGTAACCCCATTTTGAGGTTTTCTTGGCAAAGGTACTGGAGTGGTTTGCCCTTTCCTTCTCTAGCTCATTTTACAGATGAGGAACTGAGGCAGACAGGGTTAAATGACTTGCCCAGGATCACACAGTTGGTAAGTGTCTGGGGCCAAATTTGAACTCATGTGGAAGAGTCTTCCTGATTCCAAGTACAGTACTCTATTCACTGAACCACCTAGCTGCTCTTCAAAGTAATGCTCCAATCCAAATTTCACTATTCTATTCTTAAAAACTTACAGGAGTTCCATCAGACCATTCCCACGATCCTTCAGATAATGGGTTTCTTTTATTAAATCCAATCCAGAACTGTCTCTCTTCTGTCCTAGAGTGGGAAAAGAAAACAAAAATCTTCTGGTTTTTGTCACTGTAATTTAACTGTTATGTAAGAGAATCAGAAAAATTATATTAACTAGAAAATATTCTTTTAGTGCTATTGGCACAATTACAGATCAGGCCAAATCAACCAATATTTATTAAGGAATCAAGCAGTGTATGAATCTCTATTGCAAACATGTAATTCACACATAGCTGACACTTTGAATTTTGCCTAATGAGCCTGGGCATGGTTTTGGCATTTTGCTTTGGAGACTACTTTTGGTAAGATAGAGTTAGCTGGAAGAAATGTCAGCCCATTCTAAGAATGCAGGCTCATGATTTGGAACACTTATGTATTCTGTAAAGTTGTTAACTATTTCAAAATGGTTAAATGCAGAGAACTTCCATTTGAGCTTGGAAGATCTCCCTTTTCCAGAGAGGCATACTACTTACTATTTTACACTTCTCCTTTGTTTGTTAGAGTCTTGCCAAAGGCTTCCACATTCTGCGACAATTAATAAAGATCCCAGTATTTAATAGGGGTTTCCAAAAAGGATTTTTTGAAGGTAATGCACACATAAGTATTTCCATAGAAACCTGCATTAGTCTAAGCCTTGGTGGGTCACCTCCAACACTCACCGCTGGTTTCAGCTCAACGAGAAACTCTTCACCCAATTACGTTCCTGCACATAAGGCAGGCTACAGATATGGCGAGCCAGAGTGGGATCAATAAATCAAACAATAAAGACTAATTATACACTGAAGCAACTCACTAAGATAATTTTGAGAGAATAATTTTGCAGCATTAAATATTTAAAAGATTCTGAAATCCTGACAGATGCTTTATTTTCTTTAGTGCCAAGGATAAAACTGTCTTGAGGCTATTGTTCTCAGATATTTGAGTTATTCAGGCTGGATAGTAAAAATCAGATGAAAGTTCTTAAACTAGATTCCTCTGATATTGCTATGATCATTCCAGAAGTTAAACTTTAGAGTAAGGATTGGAGGAAGATAGGAAGGCTGGCTTCTTTGGGGGCAAATCAAGCACATTTGCCCAAATGTCATATGTCAGGTCCTAAAATGACTTCTGTAACTAAGTTGGCAGTTTTCCAGCCAATCCAATCAATGGATGGGAATTCTTCATTTATCCTGGCATAAACAGCTCCTCTAACTGTGTGACTCTCAGCAAGTCACTTAATGGCTCATTGTCCTAGATTAGCGCTTCTTAAACTGTAGGTTGCAAACCCATACAGGGTTGGGAAAAATCTGTAACAGTAACAGGTTTCTGAACTCGCAGGAACAACCAAAAATTAATTAAAAATCAACCATGTAATGAATCCAGGGTGCTTTTGGCAGCACTTGCCTGTGTTGCATCACACAACTTCATGACAGCCTTGGTTCTGAACACAAAGCACGCCCACTTTGCACCGCACGTGCCCTCAGGGCAGGCAACGGTCAACAATCACTTCTGAAACTCAAAAAGGGGGTCATGAGTGGAAAAAGTTTAAGAAGCCCTGTTCTAGACTAGGAGTTGCCAGTCGGGTACTAATTTGATTTGGTAAAAGATATTTCCTCACCAGGATTTCCCTATATCAATGAAATTGCAGTTCTGGTCCAAAAAAGCAGTTATCCAGAAGAAATCTAGTACATACAAATATTCATATAACTCTTTTACTTTGTATTTTTTTAAAAAATTCACACATATACATATCTTTTGCCTTTTTAATCTATGTTACTCTTTTTTCCAGTGGATTGTCAGATCTTTACTGGCAGGAGCATAGTTTTTGTCTTTTTTTATTTCTTTTGTCATCCCCTTCACGTGCCTTATATGACACCTACTAGCCGGAAGGTGCTCTGTCAACAAATGCTTGTTGACCAAAAGCTCTGCTTTGAAGAATTTGATGTGCTCTATGAACACATGAAAACTCTGTGTTATTACCAAGGCAGGTTCTAGTTTTGCAATATTAAGAAAATGAAGATGAGAACTCCCTAGACTCTGAACTGATGGGAAAAGAAAGAATCCAAATACAAAACCAGGAGCTTCTTTGTTCTTTGTCTTATGGATGGATGACTTTGCAAATTAGTGCGCATGCACTTCTATAGGATGCCAACATTCTTTTGAGTCAGTGTCTGCTTCTGATCTCAAAGTAGGAGCCATATCCTAACCTTTCCGTGCAAGTAAGCTTAGCTTTTCCTCAAAAGGTATTAAGGCTATCCTCAAGACTTGGTTGGCTAGGGGCAGCTAGGTGGCATAGTGGATAGAGCACTGGCCCTAGAGTCAGGAGGACCTGAGCTCAAATCTGACCTCAGATACTTACTAGCTGTGTGACCCTGGGCAAATCACTTAATCCTGATTGCCAAAAAAAAAAAAAGACCTGGCTGGCTCAGGGGACTAAGGGCTGAGGCTGTTCACATCACTTCCTCATTGCCTTAGTACCAAGGAACTCTCTGATGCTTAGCAGACCATTATTTACAATGCAGGCACAGGGGCTTCACTCAACTGTTTCAACTCAAGATGTTCTCAATGACTCTCCATGCTGAATATCCTTCTCCTGCTATGGCAAGTAAATCTCTTATTAACCACTGAATAATGAATGACCAATGAATGTATCATTTTTTCCAATATACAACAGAAACTACCAAGGGCCGAGCCCAAGAACAGGCCTCCAATATCCTAAGTCTTATAAGAATATAGACGCAAATTCCTAGAATGCCTGGTGGAAGGTAGCATGGCTGAAAAACTGAAAAATCATCTGAGAAATTTTCAAGATAAAATAATATGTATTTACCGATTAAATTTTGTGTATAAAAGCTCATTTACAAAATTCTCTTCCTCGATATGAGAAAAGCTTGCAAGATGTGCTCCAAAATCTTCACAAAATGCTTCAGCCTCTCTCCATGTTCTTTTCATCAAGACTTTCTCACTATGGAATACCTGTTGTTAAAAAAAAAAAGGAGGCAACCTTGATTATTCCAGGCATAGAAATAGCAGATAACTAACCTATTTGTCAAGGATGTGTTAAAAATTTAACCCACGTAAGGGGGAACTAATTGTGAGCTCACTTTATAGAAATCTTCCATGATGGCTAGTTAGACCTGAGGGAGCGAGGGCCCAGAGATTAAGAAACAAATTCAGGGTTGGGATGAGAGAACATTAGTTGAGGAATTGCTGAGGCATTCATTACAGGGGTGCTAAATCTTAGGTAAAGTTGTGCCTATATTCTCTAGATTACCATTCAACTGTTCTCATCACAGGGAATAAATCTGTATTGCCTTTTATGGTACAAATCAGGGAGTTTCTGCCCTTGGGGCACTTACACTCTAGCACTACAGACTATAGACTTCTGAAGGCCATTTAAAGTTGGGAGTCTCTTCAAGTACAAAGGACTCGTGAAGGAAAATGGCATCCATATCCAGATAAAAAACTGATGGACTCTGAATGCAGATTGAAGCATCTTTATTTTCACTTATTTCATTCTTTCTCGTGGTTTTTTTCCCCTTTTGATCTGTTTCTTCTTTCACAACTGTGACTAATATGGAAATATTTTTACATGATAGCACATGTATAAACTATATGAAATTGCCTACCATTTTCAGAAGAGGGGAGGGAAGGAGGGAGAAAAATCTAGAACTCAAAATCTTATTAAAATGAATGCTAAAAAATTCCTTGACACACATGTGACTGGGAGAAAAAATAAAATACAATTTTTTTAAAAAGCTGGGAATCTCTTTATCTGAACTCAACCTGTCTTTGATACCAGTCTAACAAAACTTCTTGATACCCTTCTCTAGACTTTTTGCCTTTGTTGACCTTGAAACAACTTGCGTTCTAACCTCTATGGATCACATCCTGATGTTCTCACCTTTTAATTATAACTCAAAATGTGCCTCCTTCTTGATTCACTCTAATTCACAAATACCTACCCCTCTCATACCAATGATTGCTGCATATACTTGTAGGATCAACAAAATGTGAATTGCGGCAATGCTTTCCACAATAGTTCCATTCCTCTTCTTGTTATGTGTATAAGGACATCGTTTTGTTTCTAAGAATTTTGTAATTGCAAATGCTATTCCTTCCTCTGAGGAACATAAACAGATCAATATTGCTTGCTATGGAATATATACATGCATACACATGTTTATACAAAACTATATTAATAAGTAAGTTCTTTTTTCCTTGTTAGACTCTTTCTGTAATGGGAATTTATCCCTGCATCCCCTGTGGAATCTGAGTTAACATTTCACATGTAGAATCCCATCCAAGTTGGACAAAACAAACAAACGTAAGTACCTCGATAAGGCTTTCGATTCCCTACTTGAAGAAATAACCCAAGGCCATTGTCCAGGCATTCCTCTGCATCCCCAGAACAGTAGCATAGCTCCTAGCTCCTAGGACTTTGTAAGTACTTAATAAATGCTTGTTAACGACTGATTATCACCTACTGGGTCACTGGCATGTATCTTAGAAGTGATTATTTTCCCTTGTTTTGTTTTGACTTTTACTCAGAAAATGTCCTCTTCTCTTCCCTCATGTGGATACAGGGTTAACACATAATCACTCATTTTGAGAGGCATTGACCAGCAAAGAAAAGAATTGAAATGAGTAGGAGAAAATAATTATCTACTCATTTTTAAATGTCTTGAATTTACAGAGCCTATATTTTAGTCACTGCAGTGATTGGCCCTAATTTAACATCTTTAGTGGTATGTCTGTGTGATATGGAGGGAAAAGCATTAGACTGGTCTTCATGAGGCCCGAGTTAAAATCCGAGCTCTGAAATTAACTGGTTATGTAGACTTGTACAAATCACTTAATCACCTTGGACCTTAACCAAGTCAACAAGCATTTAGTAAGTGCTTACCGTGTGCCAAGTACTAGGCTAAGCACTGCGGATACAAAACAAGGCAAAATCAGTCTCTAATCTTAAGGAGCTCACAGACTAATTATGAGAAAAGGATCTGGATAAAATAGTATCTAAAGTTATTTCAAGAGCTATGATTCTAAGAACTTTATGTGTTATATTTTATGGTATACAATGATAAATTGATTGCATGCATATCTATTGTTAGCTTCCTGGGGGATTCTAAGGTCTGTGGCGACAGAGAGCCACATCAATTTTATATTTCTATGAAAAGAAACATAAGTCTCATGACCAAACCAAAGAGAAAAAAACTTTTCCCCCCTAGTTGGGCATCCTTATTTGTATAAGGGCACTTTGGCCCAAGGTTAGCATCCTCTCCAAAGTCTTCTATATCAAGTTCTGAACAAAGACGAAATGCCAAACACTAGGGGCAGCTAGGTGGCGCAGTGGATAGAGCACCAGCCCTGGATTCAGGAGGACCTCAGTTCAAATATGGCCTCATACACATAACACTTACTAGCTGTGTGACCCTGGGCAAGTCACTTAACCCCATTGCCCAGCCAAAAACAAACAAACAAACAAACCAAAAAACCAAACACTAAAATGCCAACCTTTTGAAAAAAAGATTTTCAAATATGGGTAAAGGAATAATTGTTCTTCAATAATAGACTGTAAAACTGGTAAAACATTGGATCTGTGATCTCACTAATAGGAATGTTCACTTCATTAATACAGACTTTAATTCACTCCAAGCTCATCGGGGCTAGTTCTTGTCCCTTTCATTCCATAAACCTTTCTTTGAGGATCTATTCAACACACAGTGATTGACACACAATAGGTGCTTAATAAATACTTGTTGATTTGACTAGAGGTCTTCCTCTAGGCCTTTTAACATTCCTTGGGTACCAATGACTCACTAGACTGTCCTTCTGTTATCATGGACATAATTGGTCCACCTCTTTTTTAAAGCATATATATCCTTAATGATAGCCCTTAGACACCACTTCCAGTGTACAAGTTACCGGTGAAAATGATAAGACTGTGGAAATTAAGCTGATGATGGGCAAAGCTCTAAAACCATTTGTAGAAGAAAGATGTTTATGTGTATGTCATATTTATACATTTGTTGTTGTTATTATTATTCAGTCATTTGGTCATGTCCGACTCTTTGTGACCTTCCTGTCCACGGTGTTTTCTTGGCAAAGATACTGAAGTGGTTTGTCATTTCCTTTTCCAGCAGGTTAAGGCAAACAGAGGTTAAATGACTTGCCCAGGGTCACACAGCTAGTAAGTATCTAAGGCCACATTTGAACTCAGGTCTTCCTGAATCCAGCCTTATTCCTCTCTCCACTGAGCCATCTAGTTGCCTCTGTGTGTTGCCACACACACACACACACACACACACATATAAAAACAAATATAAATTGGGTAGAGGCTTCATGCTTTTGGGAAAATTTAAAGGCTACCCTTAATAGAATATAAGCTCTTTTGAGGTAGGAATTATTTCATTTTTTTATCTTCCTATCTCCAACATCTATAACAGTGCTTGCTACTGTATAGTATGTGTTTAATAAATGTTTATTGATTGATTGATTAAAGAGTGCAAAATTGTACTGTCCTATAACAAGGCTTTAATTAACTTATTTATAAATGACACAAAATCTATCTATTCTTATTTCCAGGCATTTTCCACTCTGGTCTTCTAATATTTCCTTGAATTTTACCAACATTAGCAATAGTGATTAGGGCCTCAGGATTAATTCTAAATGGAAGGACTTCAGCACCATGAGGAACCCTGTAGTCTTTGGGGAAATTCTGAATTTGACTTTGTAGTCCACAAAATAACACCAGCTCACATTTATGGAGCACTTGACATCCACAACACATTTTATGTGCATAATGTCACCTGATTGTAATCGACTATAGGAAGGGAAATGAATTCCTTCTGAATTTGTAATAATCACTTAGGTCTTCAGGAAACATGGATCAAAGGGGCTCAAACGTGAACTGAATTGATAATCCTAACAAGGTCTTTGTTTTCACCTTGTAGCAACTGGTGAGACTGGGTTTTGATTCCCATCCCAAAAAGCAAGGATGAAAAGGCCACCTCTCTTCATGTTCTGTCTCTTTCCGCACTGTCACCGGTTGTTTGCAAAGGGACATTGCTTTAAATCTCCTGCAGTCTTTGACTTCCCAGGAACCGGGGGGATTCCTTCCCCGAATAACCGCACAGCCTCCACTGTAGCCTAAAAACCGGAAAACAAGCAGATTTAACATCCCACTACAATACCATTTGGTGTTTAGGTGAGACATCTCAGAAATGACAAATTACTGACATCCTGTAATAAACATACTGAGACAAACAAAAGTAAAGGCACTCCATTGGCATGATTGCCTCATTTCCACTCCTCTCTGGTGAACAGAAATGACGATAGAAAATTCTAAGACAGAAGAAAGAATGTGGTACCTAGTCTCTGCTAAGCAGGAAACTCAGACACGGCTCTAAACACACATGACAGCCATAGGAAAGGGAGGGTTGCTTCTAGCTGTTGTCCAAATATCTGCCTTTTAGAAACTGAACCCTTTTCAAAGGTCAGGTCAATGTCATCTCCTAAATCAGGCCTTACTTAATTCACCCCTAATGTATTAGTGACTCCCTAAAATCATTTTGTATGTGTCTTAAGTTTATTTTTATATGTAAGTGTTGTTTCTCTTGATAGAGTGTAAGCTCCCTGAGGGTAATGGCTGTCCTGTTCTTGTCTTTTTTATCCCCAGCACCAAGCACAGTGTCTGACACACACAATGAATGCTTATTAGTCGACTGATTTTGCATGGCCACAATCCAACCTTCAGAATGTCTTAACCATATTATCAGAGTCGCCCAGGCTTGATTTAAGAAGAGAAAGGCAGTAGAGCCCTCCTCTGGGAAGCCTTCACCAAGGAAGCATGGCATAGTAGAGAAAAAAAATACCAGAATTTGGAGTTAGAAAACAAGAGTTGGAATTCTAGTCTTGTTGCTCTCTATGTCACTTCACTTCTATAGGGCTCAGTTTCATCTGTAAAATGATATGTTTGGATAAGATGACCTCAAACATCTTTCTTAGGATCAATCATAGAATTTTAACTGGTAGAAACCATATAGATCATCTTGTCTAACCTTCCTATTTTATCAATATGTGACTGAGACTTCACCAGGATAGGATTTGAATCCAGCTCTTTTGACTCCAAAGCCAGTATTCTTTCCCCTGTACTTTACCATCTCAAGAATTTATGAGCTCCCAGTTGGTAATATTGCCAAGAAAATCCCAAATGGGGTGAGGAAGGGTCAATCACGACTGAACAACTAAACAAGTTGGCAATAACCTCTACCCCTTGGGCATTAAACAGTAATAAAACAGGTAACATGTTATTTTGTATTGGACAGCTAGGTGGCGCAGTGGATAAAGTTCCCACCAGGAGTCAGGAAGATTCATCTTCCTGAGTTCAAATCGGGCCTCAGACGCTTACTAGCTGTGTGACCCTGGGCAAATCACTTAACCCTGTTTGCCTCAGTTTCCTCATCTATAAAATGAGCTAGAGAAGGAAATGGCAAACCACTCTAGTATCTTTGCCAAGAAAGCCTCAAATGGGGTCATGGGGAGTTATACATTACTGAACAATAACAAATGAAATTCTTTTGTATTATAGTTATTTATGCAATTTATATATTCATTAAAGTTTTACAAAGACAAAGGCTATGCCTGTTCTAAACTCTACCTCCCCCACATCTAGCACAACATGCTGTATCTGCAGAATTAGGGTGCAACATGGGGAAGTGGGGATAGAACAACCCAAAATCCACCTTGTTGTTATACTCCATAAGTTTAAAATGCACTTTATTCCATGGGTGCACTTTCAAGTTGGCTGTTCACAAGGAATACATTCTCCCAAAGAAGCACTGTTATAAATGGCAGCTAAATGTCATTTTCCTATCTCTATTTCTCCCCTCTCTTCTTGGAATGGCCTATACTTATAGTCTTCTTTACTGAACTATTTAACTCATCTTTCAAAGCACAACTAAACTGCGTATTCCTTCATTCTAACCAGAAAGGCTCTTTCTCCTCCCTAAATCCCCATAACACTTAAAACAAAAACAAAACAGACTTCTTGAAATGCACTGATCACATTCTTTTATTATTTGTATCACTACTTAGTATTTGCATATTTGTTTTATCTTATTGGAAGGTAGGGTTCTTTGTGAAGGTGGAGATTATGTCTAACACATCTTTATATACTCCATGATGCCTAGCACAGTGCATTGAATACAATAGGCACTTAAGCAATGTTTGTCAAATTAATTAATAAATTAAAATTGAGTGTGCTTTTAAATAACTTTTAATAATGCTCTTTAATGCACTTTTAACAACTGAGCAGCATAAATGTTACATGCTTATTAAAAACAGCATTTGAAAGTTCAATTATTTTAATTTTTAAAATATTAATATGTTCACTTTATCTTGGTATTTCCAGCACCTAGCATAGTGGCTGACACATAGTAAGTGCTTTTTAACTCTTGCTGATGGATTGGTTGAGGTATAAAGAGACTTGTAAGGGGAGGAAGTTCTAAGTTGGGCATGGATGACACTATTTCCTTATTATGTCTATTCTTACTTCAAAATTTATGCCTTTTTATTAGTACTATTTATTTACACTATTCCTACCTATCAACCATGATTCAGTTCATAAATGGAATAAGGAGAGGAAGAAATAAGGAGAGAAAGAGAGGGAGGTGAAATGAAAAAGGTGGACAGAAAGGAAGAGAGAGAAGGAGAAAGAGTTTTCTAAGCAAGAATTAGAAGAAAAGAATTAGGAAGAAGGAAGGTAGTCAAAGAAGATGTACAAAAGAGATTGTCTGAGATGGAATCAACTGAACTTTGGAAAACAGTGGAAATGGATGACCTTAGAACATAGGTGATACACTCGAGGGCCCAAAATGAGATGGTGAGAAAGATAAGTTGAGTTAGACAATTCCCTGCTACCCACAGTTCAATGTTAATATCCACCCAAGACATTTTGTTAGTTACTTAGCACAGGGAACTGGGAGGATTTCATCTCAACATTTATAGCCTTTTGTGTGTGTGTGTGTGTGTGTGTGTGTGTGTGTGTGTGTGAGTGAAATGGGGTTAAATGACTTGCCCAGGGTCTCACAGCTAATAAGTGCCAAGCGTCTGAAGTTGCATTTGAACTCAGGTCCTCCAGACTCCAGGGCTGGTGCTCTATCCACTGTGTCACCTAGCTGCTGCTCATTTACAGGCTTTCAGAGGTGGAAATGATCCTAGAAATTATCTAACTAAACCTCTGTTTTTACATATAAGAAAATGGGAGTCAGAGCGACTTGTAAAACAGAAGAACCAAGGCCTGAACTCAAGTATCTGATCACCTGCTCCAGTCCTTTACCCACTGCACCTTGCTGTCTCCCTAGCTGCCATGCCTCCAGTGTGGGCAGGTAGAAAGCAGAGGCAGCAAGTATAGTCAGCCATTTCTATCGATGGTGGGTTTATAATTTCAGGTTTCTTCACTTGGAGTATACTGGCTAAAATACATTCCCTAGCTAGATTGAAGGCCTTATGGGAAATGCTGAACTGCTGGAAATATATCTTTAATTTCATTATGGAAGCTGGGACTTTACAGCAGAAAAATCTTGCCTACAGGTTGGAAGAAAAAAAAAACCCAGAGTTTTTACAGAGCATTGGAATCAGCAAATTTAAAATGTAATATACTTTTTTTTGTTAGTCTTGCATTTTGTCTTACTTTTCTCCATAAGGCAGTGATTAAATAGCTTTGGTTTTCGACACTGTAGAAATCTAACTCATCTTCATTAGTGAAGAAAGGAGATGTTTGTAAACCACTATGAAGATGAAAAGTGCTGTATGAGTGTTATTGGTATTTTAAAGTGGTTACCTTAATGGAACATTTGACCTAAATTTTAGAGACTCAGCCCCCAAAGAGGCTGTAAAGTGGTATAATAAAGGGAGGCTGGGCTAAGGGAGATACAAACTGAATTTACAATCCCGTATCGTGGTGATGCTTGCAAAGCTAAATAAGAAACATAGGACGTAGCAAGTGAGAAAGTCAGCAGAGTTTCTTCTCTTAGTTGAAGAGATATTTCTCAAGTTTGATATCTCCCTCAAGAAGAAAAGAAAACCTCAGGAAGTTTGGACTGCAGTTTGTAATGCTAGAGCAGGAGAGGCATCCCTAGTTTTTTCTGAGGGAAATCCAAGCTGTGTCTTCTCTGAATTCTAGCTTCCAACACAACTCCTGGCTACTCTTTGAAACTCTCTCCCTGCCTCCTGCTTTTATCTCTCCTGGATGCCTTCATCGTTTCTCCACAACAGCGTGCCTCCTGGAAGGCCACTTCATTGCTTCCTATTCTGTCCATATTATTTAGCTGTGCAACTTACACAGTGACAACTCTGCAGAAAGGCCTTGCCATTCTCTCTCTTTCTTCTCCCTTCACCCATTATCTTTCAATCTTATTTTTCATCTATTTTTTCAGGCTTCTTTCAAGAGATTGCCAGAATTTTCCCTTTGAGATCAATCTCTATTTCTAGATTGAGAACAACTGAAGGAAGAAACTTTCCCTGAGCCCCCAGATCCTATTCTTTGCCATGTTAGAGTGTGAGAAAGTCCATCCTTACTACTGAATCCATGACTGCCCACCATATCTTCCAAGGCCCAATTGAAATTTTTTTTAAAAATCTATTTATCCATTACAACTGTTTGTTCCTTTTTCTGATTCCAGAAATTCCATCCTTTGATGGTCAGCAAAGATGGCAATTATGTTAATTCATTCCAAGTGAACCTACAGCATTGTAAGCTTCTTTTGATGGCAGGAACCATGTCTTGTTTATCTTCATATCATTCTGGGCCTTGCATTTAATAGACACTTAACATAGAGATGCTTTGCATTATATTACCCTACCCAAGATCATTTCACAGTGATATTCATAGGTTCATAGGCATTAGAGGTGGAAAGGACCTTAAAGATGAACTTAGTTCAGTCCCTCTGTTTTTCAAATAACACCATTGTGGTTGCAGTTAAATATAGATAGCCCAAGGTCACACAGGTATTAAGTAGCAGAGATGAGCTTAGGACTCCACTAAAAGCAATATAAGAAAAATGGACCACAATGTGGTAACACACTGTTATAACATCATTTTGACAATCAGATGGCCAGTGACAACCTGAGCTAATTGTTTCTTTATG